TACTATCTTTTTAAAACATGGACGGTTTCCTTTAATCGTAAAAAATATTTGGAAATATTCCTAGCCACAAGTAATTTGTTAAGACGAAAACAGTTTTTATCTCAGAAAAATGTCATCAATTGAAAATGTTAGTTACGTTACAAAGTAGCTAACTTATTTGAGAGTTACTGATAACAGATATTTAACCTTGCTATCATTTGAATGCTTTGATGGATATAGACCTTTAGAACCATTTCATGAAAGCCATTTCAGTATACAACCGACTTTACAAATATTGTTCCTTGACATGAAAGCAATTTAACAAATGATTGTCCTGTCTGTAGTTTATCCGATAAATGTATGTCTGACTTTATATGCTATAAATGTATGTCTATTTTTACTAAAATTGTTTAATCTTGCTTATTCGCAAGTGAATTTAAAAAATAAAAAATATGACGCTAAACTATAAATAAAGATATTTTGTATTATGCAAAATTTGATTAAAACTAATACTTCTGCATAAAAAAATAAAATAAAATATATTAACAAAATAAAATAGTTAGCCTACACATTAAGAAATGAAATATAAAGATATTATTCTTAGAATAAGTTTTATCTGGTTCCAAACAAAACTAATTGTAGATCGAAAAAGGGTAAATAATCTTATACTTGTTAAGATAAAAGAAATTAAACTCTTATTTTCATATCTTTATTTTTTAAATGCTTAGAGTATATCTAAGGTATAATGGGTTAGCAATTACACAATGTAAATCAAACTACTCTATGCATTTTTAAATTAGTTTTTTTGCATATGATGTTATTACATGCAATAACAAAATATTTGTTTTTATCTTCTAAAATTAATCTGTCAAGTTAAGTGTAATTTTTTTAATATAGCCATTCTTATAAATCAACAGTTTATGTAATAAATACAAGTATCATATAATAAATATAAGCATACCTAAAATAAGGCCATCCAGATCAAAAATGACATGAGTGACTGGTGAATATGAACCCATTGCATAGTTGAGACAACTGTCTAAAATTAGCATCAACAATGGTGAAGTAACTTGCTTTTCTTTCACTGTTGCCAACACAAGCAAGCTCAAAGAAATTTCCCTGGCATCAATAGACTTAGATAAGAGAATAGGAAGTTGTCCTTGTTGCGAGTGTAGTATAAATTAGTCAAATTTATAACTTTGACCTTTGTTTTACAATATGTTATTTTACCAATAGGCATTAGTTAAAATTCAAGTAATTTCTATTTTAGATTATTTTGTCATTTCACTCTCTGAAAGAGGTTTACACCACGGCAAATATTTAGTGTCTTGTAATATTTTTAAATACCTACCTTCATGTCCCTTAACTGTATTTGTTAGGTAAACTTGTTAAATGCTACTCATTTCTAAATTTTACGATTGATAATACAAAATTTAATTGAGTAACTAATTGTTCTGCATCTTAATAAACTACTTTAAAACGAGGATTGTGATTTAATTAACTGCATTGTACTCTTCAAAACAACTTTGTTTACAACATGATTTCAAAGAAATACTGTGATTATTCAGAACAAAATTTTAAAAACATTTAACAAAGTTTTGAACAATTTACAAATATTTTCTTGCTAGAGACTTCGCTCGCTATTCAGACATGTAAATATTGATTTACCTTGCATGCAGCAAAATGGTGCTTGGTAAGTTTGATTACTCTGTTCCATTCAGAATTGAGAATTAATTAGTAAAGAGAAAATATTCGAGCATGCACTGATCAAGTCTCTGGTGACCAAACGAGTTTTGGTAACCTCCATCCCTTATTGTGCTTAAAGTCTGTCTCCCTCAGGGCTTCATTCCCTCCTTGCTTTCGTCTCTTGAAACATGAAAATGCTCAAAATCCATTACAACCATTATGTAGAGATGTTTAGTTTAAAACAAATGATTCATTTATTGAAGTGTTGTTGTACGAGGTTACTAAAAATATAAAAAGCCGCCCATTTAATTAAAATTCTCTTATTATTCTAATGGAGAAAAAATGTAACTGCTGTAGTAGCCTTGTTTATGAATATTTGTTGCTTTGCCCGTGCTTCATAACAGGGTGAGAATGTAGAAGGGTAATTTTTCAAATATGAACTGACTAAATATTGGCCAGGACCATGATCTGTATTTCTAACTTTGAACCCAGAACAAACACAGATATACATACAGAAACAACCCTTTTGTGTTGTATGGTAGCGTTAAATTAATTGTTTATTATGACTAATAAATTCAAGAAAACATAAATTATTTTACTGTAACAACCAAATTCTCTTGACATAGTTGCAACTTATTTTGGAAAGAAACGAAAATTTAAAATATCATAAAGAAAATACATTTTTAACCAAATGAAATATAATGTGAACACGGCTCGTATAAAGAATTGTTTGCTGTTACATTGCCTTGGTCTTAAACATTACCTGTTCTATAGCTAATTGGATTAGATAATTCTATAGCAAAGTCAGTGAAAACTGGTTTTGTAACCTTATCCTTGAACAGTATCTTGCAATTGTAATGGATGGGAATCTGCTGTTCTGTTTTATGGAAGTTGGTTAGCTCTAAAGAAAATATTTCATTATTCTAAATAATTATCTACCTATATTTAATAACAGATTAATAAATAGGTAAATTTTCTTTGGCGAATTCTTAATACTTTACTGAGTCAAGATTCTCGCACAGAGAGTAAAGATAGATTAAACTTAAAAGGAAAGATGTGTAAGGGGAGACAGAAAGGGAAAGTTGTGTGTTAGTTCATTACTAAATCACAAATGAAAGGACAATGATAATCTTTACTTGGAGCTAGCTGCTAAAGTTTTTTCTAAGCCAAGTTCATACTGAAGTTTCATTTATTTTTACTTTCTCCCCCTATTCATAGTACCGGTAGCTATAACTTATATGGAGAAAGTATGGTTTTTGCCAACATTTTTGAGTTGGATTTTTTGGGTGGAAGCATGCGTTTCCCCTAAACCGAAAAAGTGGGTTTTGAAGTGATGTCTGTCTATCTAATATGTGTGGATGCGTACCAGGGTCGTATCCAGCTTTGGCAGGCACCGGTAAAGAGTAGAACCTTGATAACAAGACTCTCATGGGGGATCATAAAAAAGACTTGTTGTTATCAAGGTTGACTTCTTATCGAGGTTTGCAATAGCATGTGATTAAAAATAATTTCAAGGGGATTTGAAAATGACCCTTGTTATCAAGGGTGACTTGTTATTGAGGGTCTTCTTATCGAGTTTCTACTGTATTAGGCCGGCTCCCCCCTACCCATGAAGTATATGTTTGGCGGGGCCCAAGCCCTGGTAAAATTGTCCGGAAAAATCGGTCTGAGTACGGACCTAGCGTACAGAGCCACAGAGGACACTGGTCCGATTTCGATTAAATGTTGTATGTAGGTACTAATCCCTTGTATCTCCACGCTTTTTTTTTAAATTTTGATTTAATGGGGATTTTCCCATAAAATAACAAAATATCTGATTTGTACAAAAACGTCGTAAACAATTTTGATTAAAAGTTATGTTATAGTTCTTTTAATTAAAAAAAAGGTGAAACAACCTACATAGTTGTAAAATTACGGTTCAAAAGTCATTGTAATCCATGTGATTTCCCCATTAAAACCCTACAAAATAACAAAAAAGTAAGTTTTTTTTTTAATTGGCTTAATTGATTTTAAATCAAATTTAATATGTTGTGGTCCTTATGATTCTTAACATAATTGTATACCCCTCCCCCCCCCATTGCTTTAAAAGTATGGTTCAAAAGTTATTGCAGTGCTTTTTCTCATAAACCCTGAAATGGGAGAACTCTTAAGTAAATGGGAGAAATTGTGTGTCAGATTTTCCGATGCCCTGTATTCAATTTATTGTTTCATGATTTGACTTTTTATTTGATGGTCGCGTTTTTGATGTTGACAGAACGCTTCGCTCTCCTAGTTATGAGGTATACTATATATACAAATAATAAGAAACTAAAATGATAGTAAACTTAATTAACGCCCTATGCATAAACTGTACGAAAAACATGCTCCTTTCCTTGCAGAAACATATAATATATGCCTTTAATTTGTTCATTTTTCAACTAATCGTTAAGGTTGGTATACCTACATATTGGTTGTATCTAATACTATGCTAATACAAACAACAGATTATTATGATGCATTATAAATGCTTATTTGGCTATCAAACAAATAATTTAAGAAGCTCTAAAATTAAAACAACATCCTGAGAAATAATATAACTTATAACACAATCCATTTGAAAGTGATCTGTCTCAAACACTTTTATATCAACAATTATTTTGAACAAAGGAAATTGAGCAGAGCTTTTGACTGAGTTTCCCGTGATATCCTGCTCCAGAAGCTTTATCAGAAGCAGATACACCACCGTAAGTTAGTTAAACAAAAACAAATCTCTATAATTGGTTTACATCTGAAAAGCCGAAGTGGCACTAAATTCATTCAACACGTCAATCTTTTTTTGACAAACTCCCTTTCAGTATTTGAGATGGACGACTGGGTATTCAAGACTGCTTTGGAAGACTTGATGAAAATGCCGTAGTTGAGGACAATCTGGTGAGGGGCAATTAATTTTTTGTGCGATATTTTGCCTGCCTACCATGCAAATGGACAGTTTTATATTATTATTCAGCATTATCATAGATAAAACAGTTTTATCAATGGTATTATGCTGGACGTGTTGTCTTGTTTTGTGTGTTTTTATTGTAATAACCAGATGCAGTCTATTCTCTCTCCCAGGTCATTGATGAAGGCCAATAATTATGAATATTACTAAAGTAAAGTATACATAAAGCAAATATCGGCTGATGTATACTTATTGCATAAAAATCAAAAAGCCTAATTATGTGTACAAAGTATAGTACTGCTGTGACAACTAAGGATACAGTTTTGAGAATACTGTACTTTTGATTATGAAGGCTGTGGTGTTTAAAACAGACAACAAATCATACAACGCCACGATCAAACGTCAAAATCGTTTACAGTGTCGTACCGGCGAGCTGATAAGAATTACTTAGTAGTTTCAATTTATTATTGGTTGTTATAAGTTTTGTGGAAGTTGTTTTCCTGACAAAGAGGTGCTCAATTATGAAACCGTATGTCCATTTGACAGTAGTATTCGCCTTCATTACAATTATCAACTATGTTTCAGCCAAAGGTTGTGTTCAATTGGATTCATTTTCATTTGAAAAGGTAAAACACAATCACAAATTTTAGATTTATGTAGGCTTAGTATCCAGATCCAGAAAAATCGTAGCAATCTCAGCCATATTATTTGTAATTATAATAGATACCAGTATGGATTTATGGTTAGGTAGAGCAATACATAACCTAGAAGACACAGAGTGGACTGTCTTTTTATTTGATTATCATTATTTAGGCTGTTCCATTTTTTTTGTCCCACCTTCACATCCTAGGACGCTATGTTCTGGCCCGAAAGTATTTTACACAATAGTTCTACTTTGGGCTAGTCCTAGAGGGTTGTTACATTAACTTATTCACAGAAATAATCCATTTGTAATTGGGGGATTTTAACCCGGGACCTTGGGTACCGATACCCCGCTCTCTGCCACTAGACCAGCTCGCTTCCAGCTATTTCTATAGGCTTATTTAAATTCCAACTCAGTTTTTGCTGGTAGGCCAGACCTACTGGATGGGAACCTCTCGCTGATATCCGACTCCATCGTATTTTTAATAAACGTTGGACTAAAAACTATTGGTATTTTCAATAACTCAGTCTCAATCCATGACTACTCTTTATGATCATGTCATATCTTAATGTTCTCAAGAGTGACCAACTTAAACTTAATCTATGTTACGGGTAAAAACCTAACTCAAACACTTGATCGAATTGCAGGGTACTTTTCTGCAAAGAACCTACAATTTATTATCAAATGAAATATTAGTTTGATGCATATCGTATGAAATATTGTTTTCACTCTCAATAACTTAACTTATTATATTGAATGCATATTTCATAGAACTCTTTAAGCCATAGGGTCTTTTAAAGAATATTTTACACTGTCCTGCAGCGGTTAAGTTGTTAGGTAGGTTAGCTTAGCTCAGTTTTGCTTAGTTTAGTTTTTGATAATAACATAGGCCTCTCGTAGTTTAAATTTGTTGTGTAATTTGTTAATGATATAAATTTACAAAGACCTCCATTTGTAACTATGTAATAAACTGATATAAACTAATCTATCCTATATGGAGCAGTGCACTATTCTAGAGTGGTAGGTAGCTTTTTATGAAATAGACCCATAACAATAACATAAAACCAATATTAACATTGAATTAAAAATAGTAATCAATATTTATAGTGAATGCAAATTTTAGTCCTATCTGATAATTTAATTAATATAAGTTAGGTTCTCTGCCAAATTTTATTGTTGTAATTTTATTTTATTGTTTGTTATCAAATCCAGTTGTAAATATCGCTGGTCAATACATAAATATCAATCAATCTAATTGGTGAAGCTATATGCCTACATAACAGTTCTGTCAATTCATTTCTTGATAACAAGTTAGGTTTGATATTGAACTATTTTTTTTTAAATACAGCAAGTTATACAGTATTGCCACATTGCATAATATGCCGATTCTGCAAAAAAAAAGTTACTTAAAGCAATAACAGGGTCTAACGTATGTTGCAGGTAGCTTCAAAATTTAAAGCGACCCTTGTAAAGTTTGATGCTGCCTATCCATATGGCCCCAAACAAGAGGAGTATGAGAAAGTGTGTGAAGCCAGCTCTAATGTTGATGACCTTCTTGTGGTAGAGGTTGCTGTAAAAGACTACGGAGAAAAAGAAAACACAGATCTAGCGAAGAAATATGGAGCAGAAAAGGATGATTATCCAGTTGTCAAACTGTTCGTACAAGGAAAGCCCGAGCCATCTGATTTTGTTAAAACAGAAGATTTTACAGCGGATAACTTAAAGAAATTCATCCGTTCAAAATCCGGGGTTTACATCGGTTGCACAGGATGTCTTAAGGATTTTGACGAGATAGCAGCTAAATTCTCGACAGAAAATAATGCAGAAGAGAAGAAAAAACTTCTTCGAAGAGCTGAAGACCTTTGGGATAACGCAAAGGGTAATCAAGAACAAAAGTATGCAGAGGTTTATGTCAAAATAATGAGAAAAGTAATAGAAAAAGGGGATGAATTTTTAAACAGTGAACATGCGAGAGTAGACAATTTACTGAAAGGAAAAGTCAGTAAAGAGAAAAAAGAAGAATTACAACATAGACTTAATATCCTTCAAGGGTTTAAAACTGCATTACACGATGAGTTATAATTTTCTAGATCTCAAACTGTTGTTTTAAAAATGATTGGGGGTTTTCGTTGTGATGTTGCAAAACTATCTTTTTTAGTTCCTATAAAGCTACGATACAAATAGGTTAGGCCTACTGTTCAAACACAAACTTAAGGGGGGGGGGGGTAATTGCTAGTAATATTTTAATTTTGTTTGAACTTTGAACATTCCTGTTCTCTCTTTTTTAACTCAATCTAAGAATGAACTTAAACAAACTTTGACCAAAGCTAAGATCAATGTTACATAATGTATTATTTATCAGTATTGAATACTCATGTTTATCTGTTGTCGGTAATTAGTACTATAATAATGTAATAAATGTGAATATTGTTTTTTTACATTTCTGTAACTTAAATAAATGTCATGTGATTAAAAGGTTCGAAACAAGTGAACTGTACAAAATCCCATTTCTGAATTTCTTGAGAATTTGGCGCAAGTCCTTGATTTCTTCTACTACAGTCTCTGTCTTATCTCATGCAGTTATAATAATAATTACGATTTACGACTATCATGGACTGATTAGTTTATGAAACATGATCGATTTTAAACTTAAAAAGTTGCTGTTACATTCAATATTTAAACTTGAAAATGCATCTATACAATAAAATGCTCGAGAATTCAAAGATGGAGCAGGCATCCAATATATATATTGAAAGAATCAACATTTTTAGTAATATCTGTAAATTTCGATTTATTTGTCTTGTAATTATCTATATAAATAAAATTACAGTGTTTACATCTACACAATCTTAGAAAGATAAGCACAAAATTATTGTTATGCTTTTTAATTGGGCTAAAATTTACATAACATCCTCTTCTTGCATGTGTGGTTTACATTTTGAATCAGCCTTTTGTAAAGTAGCATATAACAACTTTATTTTCCTCTTGATCTCTGGATTGTAGGCTGGATTATTTTTTAATATATTATTTATTAAATTGCCCAAACAGATTAATTACTTCGTTAATAACAATATAAAAATTCAAATCAGTAGACGAGACAATGTTGTGTTCATCCATTTGTCACATGATGCATAAACTGTGTTACTTCGAACAAAATTCTTTTCGGTCTTACTAACTTGTTTTTCTGGCTAGTTTGAAAATTAGGAATACAATAGAAAATAAATTGTCCATTGTAAAGGCTTTCTCAGGATTTAGTGATTCAGGACAAGTCATTCAGAGGCTAACACATAAAATGTTACAGGTCAAACATTTTGATAAAAACATTTATTAACATTTTAATAACAAAATAGGCAATTCATATAAGCTAAACAATCACTTTATCTTACATATAAAGTAATGGTGTAGGTTTTTTAATGAGAACATACCAGCATACAGAAAATGACTTAAGTAGCATAATTGCTTAATAACACATGACATTCCAAATTTGACACAGATATGATAACAAATAAATTCACTTGAGCTAGGGCCTTTATTTATTGTTACAAATTGAGATAAGGACACCACCAAGGGAAGTGAGAATTTTAACCCTCGTGTTGAATGAAGTAATGCCTTGTCACTTTGTTATTGACTAAGATCAGCTGTTTCACTAGACAGGAGCATTTATTAAAATCCCAATGATCAAGAACAGCTGGGTCCAGTTTCAAACCATCAAAAAGCTACTGATGACATTTTCATTGCAAGGGGATCACTGTAACCAATCAGCTACATAATTCCGATTGGTTCAAAAGTTGATTTACATGCTATTGATCATTGGTTGTTTATTCATTGTTTCAAAACTGTCCAAACTTTCAAAATAAGTTAAAATTTAGTGTTTATCCCCAAAGTTTTACTGGTGTTGATATCTTATCAGACAGCCTTCATCTCAACGCAACTGTTAAAGCTTCTCATGATGGTCTTGAGAGAAAATAAGAATAGTAAAAATATGAACATTTCTAAATAGAACCTGATCTCTCTGTAAATCTACTTATATTCATCAGCTGGTTAATGGGAATAATTAATTTGTGCGATGTAAATATGTAAAAGATTAAGAGGACATTTTCAAGAAAGTGTGGTCAGATGAGCTAAAAAAGAGATAATCTTAAATATGATTACAACCAATTTTCTTTTCTTTAGATAATATATTTTTGTTTGAACAAAGATTGGTTTGATAAAGTGTTGATCGAAGTAAAGGAAATACCAAACATTGACCTGTTTCTAATTGAGGACCTAACACGCAATATAAGCACTGATAAGACACAACAAATTGTGAACTTCAACTGATTCAACAGGCAAATGATTATCTCAATCTCTTAAATATTTTCAAATACAATTAAATTCTTAGATGTACGTTTTTGGTAATGAAATTTATAGTGTCTTTTTAATGATTTAAGATTTTCAAGGTATTTAGTCGTAAATATATAACATCATTTTTCAGTGACAGGTTAGTATTTCAATTAATAGATTTAATACCTCCATTATTTATCAAATGAGGATTTTTTCATGATGAGAAAAGTAAAAGTAGGACTTTGTTACAATAACTGTGGATAAACCAAGGTTAAAAAAAAATAAATAAAAATAGAAAAAATATATTTTGAAGTTTAAAAAATGCAAACACCATAACATTCCCCGGAAATAATCTGTGATTATTCAATTAAAATGTACAGTATTATGATGCACTGATTGGTAACAATTTAATAATCTAAGCAAACAAATTTAAAGTCAAGTCAATTAAAATGTAGAGCCTGAGTAATTCCTAATATTTCAATTAGGAGTCCTTGGAGCCTAAACGTTTTAATTCATAAAACGATTAGAAAAGTAGAAAGAAATTTCTAATCACACAGTGCACTAGATATTAAAATTACAAACACTTTGGTTTTTGAAAAGATATTTTGAGATGGTGAATAACTCTTCAGCGGCTGTTTGAAATTAACAAAATTAACATTGCTCTTATGGCGGGAAAATCGAAGATGGCTGTTAGCCTGTATCTCTTGGAAAACAACAACTAAACTTCAAAGAAAATTGTTGATCTCACAGTGCACGAAACAAAGACTAAACTTAAATATTCAAAGACTAAACTTAAATATTTCAAATACAATCACTTTGGTATTTGAAAAAATATTTTTGGATGAACCATTTAACAGCGGTTTGAAATAATCCAAGATGTCCGCTAGCCTCCAACGACTCTTAAACCACAATACAGGACTAGTAATTTAATAGGATTGACACTCGTATAACATCAATGTTTCAAACTACACATAACTTCATAGAACATGAACTGTATATTACATAATCAAATGTACACCTAATGGCTATAATAGAACAAGTATATGTACAGATTCAGCATTTGGCGTAGTACGATTCAAACTAACAAAAATATACTTCACATATACACAGCTTAAAACAGCTGAAATACAATAAATAAAATTCAAATAAACTAACCTATTCTTGACTTAAAAGCTCTTTTAATTTCTCGTAAGCAACATTAATAATTCCCCAGCTAATGAAAGATCGGGTATAATTCATATGTACTCCTCGGTAAAACTTTCGCATACTGCCATCACGAGCGTAGTAAATCTCGCGAACAGCACCCCATGTCGATTGGTACGGCCCGCCGAGCCGACTTTGTACGTGAACCTTGATCACATTCAGAGGGTAAAACACTGTACTACCAACTGCTCCAATCACAGCACCAATGACAAATCCTTTCATTGTACTTCCAATTAAAGAATCTGCCTTAGGTAAAATGGCATCTGCTTGTTCTCGGGCCATGAAGAAGAACAAGTTCGACGGTCCGTTTCGCAATAATATCGGAACAAGACCGCGATAGAATTCTTTGATACCGTAATTTACTGCTATTACCCTGATGGCGTGCTGGGAGTTCTTGAACTCCGAGTGGAATTGACTATGCTGCATGAGAGTTTGTAGCCTCTCGAAGGGAGCAAGAATAGCTTCCGTCGTTCCTGCGATGTTGGCAGCTACGAAGGTACTGGTGACTTTGGGCACGCCCAGATCTACCAACCTTGAGCGACAGTTCTCGTAGATGCCGAACATGAGCGAGGTGGAGATGGACTTCTGGCATAGAGGAGGGAGAATACCACGATAGAGGAACAGAATACCTTCCTTAGACATTTGTCTGATTGCTCCGGAAACTCCAACATTGTGTAACATCTGCAGACAGGCAAATATAAAATATTAAAGTTGAGAGTCTAAGTTGAATATCTTAACCCTTGATTGGGCGCTTAACCTTTAAAACGTGAGACGGCGCATGCGGATGCTTTTTCTGCATCGCTTAATCATACAAATTTATTCAATTTAAATTGATTTTATCATTTTATCACGTAACTTTGCAGTTAAATTATAACTAAAGTGATAAGGAACACATTACTACATTCAGTGTTTAAAACTGTAGCCTACCTAGAATTTAAAAAAATTACTTGATTTGCTACCCACAATAATGGGAAGCTGGTCTTAGTGGTAGGGTGCGGGACTTTGATCCCCGAAGTCCAGGGTTCAAATCCGGCCAATCACTAATGGATTTTATTGAAATGATAATGCCGCAACCCTTAATCTCAGACTGAAGGAATGTAAAAACGCTTCTGTGCTGCAGCCTAGCAAAAAAATCTTAATAATTTATTTTACTTGTAACTTTTATATAATAACTACAAGACTGTAAACAGGGGTGCCCACAAGGGGGGGCTGTGACGCAGACTGCGTCATTGAAATTCTTGGGGGGGGGGCTCAAAAAATTCAAATGGGGGGGGGGTTGGCTAAAGCTATTTGCAACGTGACGACAATCCAACATATATTACGAAGTCGCCTGATAGAAAGTGGATTAATTAATGACAATAGTTATATTATTGAATTCAGTTAGTTAAATAGGATTTTAGGATGGTTTAGGATTCGTGTAGAAAGTTATTATTCAAGATTAGCAAGACGTGAGATCTAAGAGGGAGCGCACGGGCTAGCTCAACTGCTGAGATAGATAAAGATAACGCGTGGTACAAACACGTCCAGCTACACCGCGACTTAGCACAGAACGCTTTGTAGACATAAAGCTCGTTAAAATACAATCAAGTAGCATAGGCTACAATACTTAACACTATTGTGTAGATACTCGATTACCTGAGTTAATTAGGGAGGGGGAGTAATGAAAAATACGGTTAATCCAATATAGTATAAACACAGATGACAAACCAATTAAACAACCACCCATTAAACCCATTTAACACCGCTGTAAACAACCATTAACGTTACAATTTGCATTCTTATAAACGAAATTCAATATTGCACAATCATTATTATTGTGCAATAACATTATTATTGTTAATTTAAAATAATTTATCTTTGTTCAATTGTACAAACGGCAACGTTTAAAATTATAGCTAACTCAAACTCAACTAATAACTAACCAAACACTGCATTGATATTAAATAACGTAAATATTATAGGAACCTTTAGAAAGTGTTATAAGGTACTGTTCATGATAGACAGATAGGCTACCAATAGGTGCTGTATCACAGCATAGGAATTGATAGATAAGTAATAAAAAAGGGTAAAATTATATTTAGAGATAATTAAAACACTCTTAAAAAAGAATGTAACGAGAACAATCTTGTTATTCTTTTTCTTTGTTCTTCTGTTATTTAATAGGTTTCTCTTCAATTCATACACAAATTCAACAAGTCGCCATATTTAGGCCTACTCATTAGCCAATCACAGTCTTACTAAAGTTAAAGTTACCATGGTTACTAATCACTCAATCACAGTTTACTAAGCATTATATCGTCATCATTCCCCAGCTGTTGTATCTGAAATCTGTTGTAACATAGCGTACAGCAGACAGAAGTGTAAAACGGAGCAGACGATTGTTGGCGCAACGCAAGCGTTGTTTCCATATTTTCATCAAAGGAGCTGTAATGTTTCTAAAGGGAGGGAGAGGGGATCGTTATATCAAGAGAAAGACGCTGACAATTTCTTAAACAGAGATTACGCACGCTATATGGATATTCTGTTCTAGCAATAAAAAATTCCTTGAATTGGGGTGACTTATAAAACTCTAATTTTATTTATATAGAAAGCTAAGTTTTCCAGTCCTGTACAACACTGATTCACGGTCTTTTCCCCTTTTCCCAGTAATCAAAATTCAAGTACAACTTGATACACACAGAATCTCCGGTTCCCGACCTGGATGATGGCTAGTTATTTAATTTAATTTACAGTTACATATTACCCGTGATAGTAATAGTAGTATAGTAGTAGTAATAGTAGTTAGTAATAGTACCCGTGATAATCAAACCCGTTATGTAAGCCAAAGCCACACGGTTATTAATCTCACTTGGTTTTGGATTTGCTTAAAAACGTGATCGGAAATGGTTAGGGCCTACACAGTATTCGTAAACAACATTTATGTAAACACTAGCAGAGTACCCGTCCTTCATACGGAGTTGACATTTAAGTGTAAAATACTTACAGTATTGCAGTTATACTCTTAACTTAGCGTTTGCAATGGGGGAGGACACAGTTTGATAAAATTTGCTTCTTTAAATTTACGGTATACTATAGTATAGTATTACACAATACACATCTACCATAGCCATAATGTTCTACCACTTCACCTGATCAATAAAGAAAAATAAACTATTAACAATACTTTCTCCATATTCTATGGTATAGGAGGAGAAAGTAAAAATTCGCAAAATATCACAAATTATTCATGCAATTAAAAACATAAACATAACTGTAAACAATCCTACTTTGACAGTTTGTTCTCATTGCCAATCACAGTTTTTTATTGCTGCTTAGTTCAAATTAGCTGTTTTCATAAATGTAAAAAAAATAATAGGTCTGCACCCTGTTAGTAAATCTTATAACTTTTTAATACTTTATAATACTTATATATACTTAAATAGATATATACTTTAATAGAACCAACTTTTTTAGTAGAAACAGCTGACTGAATTCTTTAATTCCCTTTAAATATGGTTCACATAACTAGTCATAACTCATAAGGTTAACATGGGGAACTACAGAGCCACTGGGGCGGAGCCCAAAAGGATTTTTGAGATAAGAACATATAGTTAATTGAGCTATCATCATGCCAAATTTCAGCCCAATCCGTCCATTAGTTAATGCGTGATTGAACTTTAAACAAACTTTCACATTTATAATATTAGTAAGATATATCAGTGACGGCAAGAAAAAGGAATCTTTATCAAAACAGCTGTTCGTAATTTCATATAAGACGTCTTCTCTTAACAGATGAGTAGTATTTCATAAATGACGTATGTAGTAAACATGGAGAAAATGAACTAGAAATTCACACAAAATTGGGTTTTTTATCGTCCGTTATTTTATTTCCAAAATAGTGAGGCCATATTTTAATGGCTATAAGGACACTCTCGCCAATCCTGTAGATACAATTAAACCATTAGAATCATAATCGGTACTCTAGTTTTCTTTAGAGTAGGCTGCGTAAAATGCCTTCTGGGCCGTGACAGACTGACATAAATTGAGATAAGACATGTTTCAACTTCTTCTTAAAACGTAAAAATAACCCAAATATGTATAATTCTGAGCAATGTACAGACAAAACCATAACTTTATTTATATAGATTAACTGGGTTTGAATTTTAAATATCTAAAAAAAAAATTATAAAACTTCTTTTATAGTTTTACAAATAGTGCTGGGCGGGGGAATAATGTTTCTCATTTGTTGTGTACATCATTTATGGTGGGGGGGGGGGGCTGTTGCTCAATTGGGGGGGGGGGGTGCGTCATGAGTCTAGGGGGGGATGGGCACCCCTGCTGTAAAGTAATTTTTACAGTCAAATGTAAAACCCTACAGGAGTTAAAAATATTGAATAAAAATTGGCTTGCGCGGAGTTATACTTGCTCAGGAGACTTGACAATAATTTGGACAATAGCCACCAGCAGAGCCAGGTGTTATTAGCCATTAGAATGTGAGAGTCACGAGACTTGGCTTATACTAGTTGCCAAACCTTTAATAGAACCAGCTGTGAATGTAAAGTTATATTTTTAGAAAGTCGAAACAATCAATTAAAACTGTCAAAAAAGGGAAACTGTAATTTTTAATTTTACCAAAAATAATAATTTGAGTATATTTGATTGAGATTTCTTTATCAAATGATACATAAAGTTTGTCATCCAATTATTTCAAAGATAAGTGTAATGGCTGTATGGTTTTGTAACAGACCTTTGACCACTCAATTAAATCAAGACATAATTTAATTTCATATTTAACTAATTATCATCAATCACAAGTTAATTAAATAATGAATAACTAGATAGCAGAGACTGATCGGTTACTGGATATTGAAACAAATTAAAATCTACACGGGTAATATTGCTCATCCCAAGGGTCGATTCTGTAATGGCTTAAAACGTTGCTATTTGACTATCTGTAAGTGCTTTATGAAATGGCCGTGTCCAGTAAAAGTGCAACGGCCAACCTTAAATATGTCTTCAGAGACATTTTGGTAGAAATTAGGTAGGCTGTTTTGCACGTAACTGAATTTATCGGTTGTCTGTAGTACGTTTTACAGCACAAAGGTAAGGTTAGTTTATGCTGGTAACCATACCAGTACTTCTGCTGACTGATTATTACAATTCCCAAAGTCAAAAGTCACAATTAATTGCCAAGTCATCTCCAACTCAAGTAATGAAGGGTGGTGATAAGGCGTGAGAACTTATGCCACATGGTTATTTCTAATTTTAGGCTATTGATTTAAATTTAGTAGTAGGTTTAGTTAATTTATGATCATATTCAATAGGTTAACTAAATCTGAGTCAACCCTATGATAGGGAGCGAGCTGGCGTAGTGGTTAGAGCTTCAGTCCCTGAGGTCCTGGGTTCGATCCCCGCCAAGTCACGAATGGATTTGATCTAAGTGATAATGCCGTAACCCCTAGGTCTAGCCTTAAGTAACGTGAAAAACAATCCCAGGCTCGTGCCTAGCGTCCTAGGAAAAAAAATAAATAGATTTTTAGAGAAAGATACATCCAGCATTTTATTCATTGTGAATAATTAATAGGCCAACTCTGTACTTCTCAAAACGTCTCTAAAGCCGCATTTACAGTAGTTGCAGTTAGTCTGGGCGCGCGGACCCTTGTGTACTAGCCGTCCTGAGAACTCCACAGCCCACAACACTCAGCCGCTGCACTGACAGCTTCTCGTGTGGTCCAGATGTTTTTATAAATGAGCAATAAACACTCCCCTCTACACCCCCCGCCATAGCGCGGCCACGCGCCCAGACTAGCTGCGACTACTGTACACGAGGCCAGTACTGGCTTTGTACAGTAGAACCTTGATTAACAAGACTCTCATGGGGATTATAAAATAAGTCTGGTTATCAAGGCGGACTTCTTATTGAGGTTTGCAATAACATATGTTTAGAGGTAAAATAAATTCAAGGGGATTTGAAAAATTCACTTGTTATCAAGAGTGACTCGAGGGTCTTCTTATCGAGGTTCCATTGTACAAGAGCGGCTTAGCATTTATATATTATTTGGACACAAAACACGATTTATCCAAAAACTAGGTTAACGTTCTTAGCCTGAAGCAGCAAGAAACAGCTGTAGTTATTTATAAAACAAGGATCAGCTACGCAAAAGGTAATCTAAACCTTTTTAATCTTGATACAGAGGCTAACCCATTAAGAGTGCTTCAACTAAATTATTCTCTCTTATTTCAAGAAATATTTCACTTTTCTCTTTGGTTAAAGTACTAGTGGGCCATCAATCCGCCCTCTGGATAAAGGGATAAACCTATCCGTTGTCTTCAGCTGATCTACAATGAGTACATTTAATCTGAGCCACAATAGATAGGCTACCAAAATAATTCAAATATGGTGATTATAATTTTTAATCAACGTACCTGGCGAAAGATAATCTTGTTGAGCGGAAAAGTGATGGTGATGTTGACGATCGCAGCACCCCAGCCGCAAACAAACTCATTCAAATCAGAGTTTAATGCTAGCTTGGGGGTAGGAGGAGACATGGTTGATAAAACCGGCGGTTTTCCCTCTATTAAATTACCTTTGGATGACATCTTTGAGGACTGAATCACTGGACAATCTTCTGCAAACATGTACAAGTAAATAATTTCAACAATTATTGTTTGGAACCAAATTTTCACATTTACTTTTTGTTATTAGAGAGTTTTTGCACCTTACGTTAACTAAATACTTGCGTTAAATAATTGCTATCATAGCTCAATGGCTAACGCTTCCGACTATCACCCAGCAGACCCGGGTTCCATCCTCGGTCAAACCACACTTTTAGCAATAAGCCTTTACCCATTAACTTATAGCGGGTCCGCTATTTCAAAGGATTTATCGTAGTTTTTTATTGAACTGTTAAAGCCACAATTAAAGACAACCTAAGTTGAAAGTATATGCTGAGTTTATTTTTAAAGTGTAATTAGATTTCTTGCTTGGACTTTTCTTCAAAATTGATAAAAAACGTTTTAGATTCACCCTAAATTATGAAATACTGTAGTGTTATTAAAAGAAGTTCTATGTGAAACGTGAAAACCCTTTTGAAGATAATGGAAAGTGGAATGATATTGATCAGTTATAGCTCCTAAAGCTGATAAAGTTCAAATGATCTCTATAACTACAAAATCAATCACAACCAAGTACAGGGTGCTTATAAAAAAACTTTACAACTTCAAACAACCATAGAACCTTAATTTTTTTCACATAAAGCTATGAAATAACAATCAAAGTCTAGGAAATTGTTTCAAGTTTTTGTAAATTTGAAGGAGTTTTTACCAACTTCAATATGTTTTCTTGCACACAAACAATTGTCTAAATTCCAGTTCGGACCAAACACGGCCTGTGTTTGGAAACATCAACAATCAGAGTATAAATGTTTCCATTGATATATTAGAGAATTTTGCTATTCCATAACTAGAAGGATTACAACACAATTTAATTTTTCAAGGGAACAGTGCTCCTTTGCACTGGAGAGACTTTGTCTGAGATTATCTGGATAGGTTATTCTTAAACCATTGGATTGGCCATTATGGGCCAACTTCTTGTCCTCCTAGGCCATCAGATATTATCTTGTGTGACTTTTTTATGTGGAGCTTAGTTAAGGATTGTGTCTTTGCCAATTAAATTAATACAAAAAAAATAACTAAGTTAATAGAACGAATCAGGAGAGTGTTTGCTAAAATAAATTGTGTTATTTGAGGTCATGTTTGGTCCAAACTGGCATTTAGACTTGATTTTGTGTGCAAATAACGGAAAATACTCGAAGTAACGGAAACTTCTTATTATATGCACCCAAACTTAAAATGATTTCCAAGACTTTGATTGTTATTTGATAGATTTAAATGGAATATAAAGGATATATGGTTGTTTGAAGTTATAAAGTTTTTTATAAACACCCTGTATATTGCACAATCCTAACCTCCAAGCATTGATAAATATAAAACCTCTGCTCCATTTTAAGTTTAGTGTTAGCGATAAATGTAATTTTGACGGAGATGCAAAAACTTTAGCCTAAATTAGGCCCTCATATGTTGAACACTAAACGCTTTTTTTTAACGTTGAGCGTTTGCATTTAGAAAGATTTTTTTTTTTAGAAGATGCAAAACTTCTCTAATAATTAGTTTTGATAATTAAAATGTTTGACAAAGACAACAGTAGTTGGATTATTTTTATGCACAATTCTTTAATCATGTAAAAATTTCTTATTGAAATACATTTCAATCTGGTTATCAAAGAGATAAAACCCCAAATAAGATATAGTCTACAGTAGATCGTGTCAATTGGCATAGTTTGTGGGAGGGATGAGGGAAGGGCTCACACAAGTAGACGCTAGTGGTATTAAATGAACTCAACAGCAAATTCTGGTTGAGATTAATAGGTACAAAATAACAACTGTGGTTATGGGAAGGGCCTGCTTGTCATTCTATTTGACACAAACTATACTACATTTTATTTAGATATTTCATGCAATATAAATTATATTTATTGTTAAAATATATACTGTAGGTATACCGGTATGATCGACAGACCATCTTACTAAAACAACATTCTGTTTAAAGTTATTATTTGGAATTTATTAGGAGTTTATGGCTTGTAGCGATAAATGTAATTTTTACGGAGATGCAAAAACCTTAAATTAGGTGCTCTTATGTTAAATGCCAAACGCTATGTATAACGTTGAGCGTTTACAAAATATCAGTCACTCTTTTGATTAATGTTAAATTGACTTAATTTGCTCCACTTAATGAATAAAAAATATCTCTTTGTCTCCTACCTCATACTAGAGAAGCCAGGAACCTTTTTGTCTGTTGATTTACTTTCCCATCTAACAATTGAAGATGATTGGTACCGGTTCTACTATATCCATGATGTTGCTGAACCTAAAAGAAGTGCAAATTAATTATCATAACTGAGGAAATAACTCAAAACTCAAAAAGTAAGTAAGTTTTGGTTTGGATACCATTACAGAGAAGTGTAACTATACTGTAGCCCAACTACTGAAGCAACTATTGTTCTAAACCTACTGTAATAGGAGGGTCAAATATTGTAAAGAGGAAGTGTTTGGCAATGTTGTGTGAGTAGGCTGGTAGTGTTGTTAAACAATAACTTGTTGTGCTGACCTACTGAAGGCTGTTGCTTTAAGTAGGCCAGTGCACTTGATCAGGGGGTCAGTTTTGGTGGGTAGTGTTTGTGAGGTGCACCGGAGGACAGGGTCCTGCTGGGGGAGCTGGAGCCCAAGGCCCTTGGCCTTGGGTCCAGGTAAGACAATGTAAAGGGTTTTCAAAATTGGGGTTTAGAGTCTTTTCCAAATTGGGGTTTAAGTTACTAACTTATTTATACAGTGTCAGTCTACTCTACCTTTTTGATTGTTGGTTTAGCTTTGTGTTCTTTGTGTTGTTTTGAGTAATTAATAAAGTTGGGTTTTGTAAGCGAGTGCTGAGTTTCATTCCTGAGCTACGTCACCCAAAGTAGCGGTGGTATTCCAAGGGGGAAACGACCGTTAAAAGGTGATGGAAGCGCCGGGAGTTTTGTAATTTTTTTTACAAAACTTCGATCTTGGTACCTCTTGGGCAAAATAATTGGCTTTAATTTTTGGGGTTCTTTTAGTGCAGAAAAATTTTGGTTTTTTGAATATATTTTTTTTTTTATTTGTAATCACCACTTTGGTGCAGTTTTTAATCAGTTCTATTTGGGGGTTTAGTGTTTTTTGGGACAGCAGTGAAGGGCTGGAATGCCGTAAATGTGAAGTTTTCAGTGTTATTTTATGTGAGTCTATGTGTCATGTGCGGGTTGCACGTTAGTTCGATATGTGTTCGTGTTTGGTTACACGAGTGTTCTAAGCGACATGTGCGGGTTGCACGTGAGTTCGATATGAGTTCGTGTTGGGTTACACGAGTGTTCTATGCGTCATGTGCGGGTTGCACGTGAGTTCGATATGTGTTCGTGTTCGGTTACACGAGTGTTCTATGCGTCATGTGCGGGTTGCACGTGAGTTCGATATGTGTTCATTGAGTTTATTGTGTATCGTGTTTGGAAGCACGAGAGTTTTGCGTTATGTGCTGAGTGCACATGGCTGTTAAATGTTACGTGCTGGATGCACGAGGTATTATGAGTTGTGCTGGATGCACAGGGTTTACTTTTGTTATGTGCTGGGAGCACAAGATGAATTTGTGTTACGTGCTGAGTGCACGAGGTACTTTTTTACTTTATGCTAAGTGCTAGCTGCACAAGGTTTTTATTTGTCCTGTGCTGGATGCACATGTGTAATGTGTGTTTCAGATGTTGTTTGCTGTGCACAAGTGTGTGTATTTGCCTGGTTAAATTTGTGTTGAATCTGGGATCTTGTAGTTCCCACGTTTCTTGATTATGAGATTCTGTGGTTGCAGACCTGCTATTTCTACACTCTAAAGTGTATATTGTGCGAATAATGTGGCAGACACATGTTGTCAAACTAGTCTGTTTCAGCTCTTTATGCGCGGTAGATGCAGTGAATAATGGATCAATATATTATATTTTGTAGAAGTAGTTTGAGGGATAGTTAATTATTTATAGTGTATTATGGTGTACTGTTTTAGAAATATATTTGAGCTTAAACTTTAATTTGATAGTAATATATTTTTTTCAGATGGGGATTTTTACAAATGGTTAATACTGTTAATGATTAGAGTAGGTGTTCATGTTGATATTTCAGAGTATAGCACGAGCAAAGTTGCGGTGAGAGTAGTCAGCATGTTTGTAGGCTGAGGAATGCTGAGCGTGGTGTAAATGGCCTCTCTGTGACCTGACCTTGCTGAGTGCTGACCGTGTTGTGTTACACTGTTTACCTTTTAATACTGATGCTCTAGAGTTTGCTTTGGGAAATCAGCAATGCATGAATGTTTTATTTTGGGAACAAATTTTTGTTTTTACAGGTGATACGATTGTTGGAGAAATTTTAAAAGGGAAATTGGTTTTGCTTACGGGTTAGATTGTAACGATTTGGGCCCAAATCATTTTTTCCAGCAACCTTTTGTTATGCAATTTCATTGGGAAATTATATATGCCATTTTTAAGTGCATTTTTGAAATAACACATTGAAGCTAAAATTTAACTTGTTTTTAATATGGAAGCAAACATAATTTCACTCAATGTTATGAGGAGAAATGACCAAAATGTTGGTAAACTTTTAAACATAAATTATGTAAGCTATATTGAATGGGGTAGTTTGAACATTTTAAACTATTATTTTGACAATTATAAATTGTGTTTGTGTTTTAAAAATGCTATGGGAAAGTCTAATTTTATTGGAAGATGATTTTGTTTTGTTTTTTCTTTGTTTATACTATTTTAGAGATAAATTGTATCATATTTCACAAAGGTGGCAACTGTATTGGGAAATAATGTTTTAAACGTTGCAATAGTGTCCTTTAGTGAATTTAATAGTCTCACAAAATTTAAAGACACAGACGGATTATGTATTAAAAGAATATTTTATTGAGATATATTTTGTTGTTTAGATTTTTAATTATCAGGGACTTTAATGGGAGACAAATTGAATATTTTTGTTTATTCAGAATTAAATTAAATTATACTAGAAATGAAAGACTGTTCCATCATTTATTGTTTTAAATGCTTTGAAAAAGGTTATATTTGAAGAATTTAAAGTAAATCAATCTGAAATTATTTATAATGTTTTGTTGTTTAATCGTAGAGGCCAATGATTTGTTAAGGTAACACATTCCAAACACTTCCCTTAGTTTCAATAATTTTTGTTTCAATGTTGGTTGTTTTGTTTTGTTCTTAATGTGAGTTTGAGAATTTCTTTAAAAGTCTAGGGTTTTTTTATAAATTATATGTTGTATTTGTTGTGAGTTATATGTTTGTGTAGGCTTCCTATTTACCCATCCCCACTGACCAACTGTAGACAAGGCTACAAGAACTTCATGATTTGCCCTGTTATCTTCAACATTGTGATCGGAGGAAGAGACTTTGTCAAACTCAATGAAAACTGGGGAAACGCAGCTGGGGGCAAGGGCTTTTAAGAAGAGGAGAACTTCAGGCTGCAGTACACTCAATCAATGGCAAAAGCAGTCCAACATCATTGTCAACCAAAGTCGATTCATCATCAATGCTGTCAAGGAACGCTGGATGGACTACAGACTATAGACACCGAAGTGGGAGACATCGCAGAAGACATGGCTGTGGTCAAACATCTGAAGACCAACGACTGTTCGAGGAGGCTTTATCAACGCAACTGCTGAGGAAGTCAGCAAACAGTTGGTCAGTTCTTCCCCTCCTAAACCTTATTTTGATTTTGTTTAGGTACAATTTTAAAAGATTTTAATCAGTTTTGGTTATTAATTTTTTTTTTTCTGAGTGGATGTATCTATGTAGTTGAGACGCTGGGGACATCGTCTGGAGGAAATGGGGGGATGTAATAGGAGGGTCAAATATTGTAAAGAGGAAGTGTTTGGCAATGTTGTGTGAGTAGGCTGGTAGTGTTGTTAAACAATAACTTGTTGTGCTGACCTACTGAAGGCTGTTGCTTTAAGTAGGCCAGTGCACTTGATCAGGGGGTCAGTTTTGGTGGGTAGTGTTTGTGAGGTGCACCGGAGGACAGGGTCCTGCTGGGGGAGCTGGAGCCCAAGGCCCTTGGCCTTGGGTCCAGGTAAGACAATGTAAAGGGTTTTCAAAATTGGGGTTTAGAGTCTTTTCCAAATTGGGGTTTAAGTTACTAACTTATTTATACAGTGTCAGTCTACTCTACCTTTTTGATTGTTGGTTTAGCTTTGTGTTCTTTGTGTTGTTTTGAGTAATTAATAAAGTTGGGTTTTGTAAGCGAGTGCTGAGTTTCATTCCTGAGCTACGTCACCCAAAGTAGCGGTGGTATTCCAAGGGGGAAACGACCGTTAAAAGGTGATGGAAGCGCCGGGAGTTTTGTAATTTTTTTTACAAAACTTCGATCTTGGTACCTCTTGGGCAAAATAATTGGCTTTAATTTTTGGGGTTCTTTTAGTGCAGAAAAATTTTGGTTTTTTGAATATATTTTTTTTTTTATTTGTAATCACCACTTTGGTGCAGTTTTTAATCAGTTCTATTTGGGGGTTTAGTGTTTTTTGGGACAGCAGTGAAGGGCTGGAATGCCGTAAATGTGAAGTTTTCAGTGTTATTTTATGTGAGTCTATGTGTCATGTGCGGGTTGCACGTTAGTTCGATATGTGTTCGTGTTTGGTTACACGAGTGTTCTAAGCGACATGTGCGGGTTGCACGTGAGTTCGATATGAGTTCGTGTTGGGTTACACGAGTGTTCTATGCGTCATGTGCGGGTTGCACGTGAGTTCGATATGTGTTCGTGTTCGGTTACACGAGTGTTCTATGCGTCATGTGCGGGTTGCACGTGAGTTCGATATGTGTTCATTGAGTTTATTGTGTATCGTGTTTGGAAGCACGAGAGTTTTGCGTTATGTGCTGAGTGCACATGGCTGTTAAATGTTACGTGCTGGATGCACGAGGTATTATGAGTTGTGCTGGATGCACAGGGTTTACTTTTGTTATGTGCTGGGAGCACAAGATGAATTTGTGTTACGTGCTGAGTGCACGAGGTACTTTTTTACTTTATGCTAAGTGCTAGCTGCACAAGGTTTTTATTTGTCCTGTGCTGGATGCACATGTGTAATGTGTGTTTCAGATGTTGTTTGCTGTGCACAAGTGTGTGTATTTGCCTGGTTAAATTTGTGTTGAATCTGGGATCTTGTAGTTCCCACGTTTCTTGATTATGAGATTCTGTGGTTGCAGACCTGCTATTTCTACACTCTAAAGTGTATATTGTGCGAATAATGTGGCAGACACATGTTGTCAAACTAGTCTGTTTCAGCTCTTTATGCGCGGTAGATGCAGTGAATAATGGATCAATATATTATATTTTGTAGAAGTAGTTTGAGGGATAGTTAATTATTTATAGTGTATTATGGTGTACTGTTTTAGAAATATATTTGAGCTTAAACTTTAATTTGATAGTAATATATTTTTTTCAGATGGGGATTTTTACAAATGGTTAATACTGTTAATGATTAGAGTAGGTGTTCATGTTGATATTTCAGAGTATAGCACGAGCAAAGTTGCGGTGAGAGTAGTCAGCATGTTTGTAGGCTGAGGAATGCTGAGCGTGGTGTAAATGGCCTCTCTGTGACCTGACCTTGCTGAGTGCTGACCGTGTTGTGTTACACTGTTTACCTTTTAATACTGATGCTCTAGAGTTTGCTTTGGGAAATCAGCAATGCATGAATGTTTTATTTTGGGAACAAATTTTTGTTTTTACAGGTGATACGATTGTTGGAGAAATTTTAAAAGGGAAATTGGTTTTGCTTACGGGTTAGATTGTAACGATTTGGGCCCAAATCATTTTTTCCAGCAACCTTTTGTTATGCAATTTCATTGGGAAATTATATATGCCATTTTTAAGTGCATTTTTGAAATAACACATTGAAGCTAAAATTTAACTTGTTTTTAATATGGAAGCAAACATAATTTCACTCAATGTTATGAGGAGAAATGACCAAAATGTTGGTAAACTTTTAAACATAAATTATGTAAGCTATATTGAATGGGGTAGTTTGAACATTTTAAACTATTATTTTGACAATTATAAATTGTGTTTGTGTTTTAAAAATGCTATGGGAAAGTCTAATTTTATTGGAAGATGATTTTGTTTTGTTTTTTCTTTGTTTATACTATTTTAGAGATAAATTGTATCATATTTCACAAAGGTGGCAACTGTATTGGGAAATAATGTTTTAAACGTTGCAATAGTGTCCTTTAGTGAATTTAATAGTCTCACAAAATTTAAAGACACAGACGGATTATGTATTAAAAGAATATTTTATTGAGATATATTTTGTTGTTTAGATTTTTAATTATCAGGGACTTTAATGGGAGACAAATTGAATATTTTTGTTTATTCAGAATTAAATTAAATTATACTAGAAATGAAAGACTGTTCCATCATTTATTGTTTTAAATGCTTTGAAAAAGGTTATATTTGAAGAATTTAAAGTAAATCAATCTGAAATTATTTATAATGTTTTGTTGTTTAATCGTAGAGGCCAATGATTTGTTAAGGTAACACATTCCAAACACTTCCCTTAGTTTCAATAATTTTTGTTTCAATGTTGGTTGTTTTGTTTTGTTCTTAATGTGAGTTTGAGAATTTCTTTAAAAGTCTAGGGTTTTTTTATAAATTATATGTTGTATTTGTTGTGAGTTATATGTTTGTGTAGGCTTCCTATTTACCCATCCCCACTGACCAACTGTAGACAAGGCTACAAGAACTTCATGATTTGCCCTGTTATCTTCAACATTGTGATCGGAGGAAGAGACTTTGTCAAACTCAATGAAAACTGGGGAAACGCAGCTGGGGGCAAGGGCTTTTAAGAAGAGGAGAACTTCAGGCTGCAGTACACTCAATCAATGGCAAAAGCAGTCCAACATCATTGTCAACCAAAGTCGATTCATCATCAATGCTGTCAAGGAACGCTGGATGGACTACAGACTATAGACACCGAAGTGGGAGACATCGCAGAAGACATGGCTGTGGTCAAACATCTGAAGACCAACGACTGTTCGAGGAGGCTTTATCAACGCAACTGCTGAGGAAGTCAGCAAACAGTTGGTCAGTTCTTCCCCTCCTAAACCTTATTTTGATTTTGTTTAGGTACAATTTTAAAAGATTTTAATCAGTTTTGGTTATTAATTTTTTTTTTTCTGAGTGGATGTATCTATGTAGTTGAGACGCTGGGGACATCGTCTGGAGGAAATGGGGGGATGTAATAGGAGGGTCAAATATTGTAAAGAGGAAGTGTTTGGCAATGTTGTGTGAGTAGGCTGGTAGTGTTGTTAAACAATAACTTGTTGTGCTGACCTACTGAAGGCTGTTGCTTTAAGTAGGCCAGTGCACTTGATCAGGGGGTCAGTTTTGGTGGGTAGTGTTTGTGAGGTGCACCGGAGGACAGGGTCCTGCTGGGGGATCTGGGTAAGACAATGTAAAGGGTTTTCAAAATTGGGGTTTAGAGTCTTTTCCAAATTGGGGTTTAAGTTACTAACTTATTTAGACAGTGTCAGTCTACTCTACCTTTTTGATTGTTGGTTTAGCTTTGTGTTCTTTGTGTTGTTTTGAGTAATTAATAAAGTTGGGTTTTGTAAGCGAGTGCTGAGTTTCATTCCTGAGCTACGTCACCCAAAGTAGCGGTGGTATTCCAAGAGGAATACCGACCGTTACACTACAATTTAAAAAGATTAATAAGTAATGGCTTTAACAAAAAATATTTAACAAAACCAAATCTTTGGTTCAACTTACAAATATTAACATCATGGTCCATGTGGCTGAATGATGCCAAATTATCAATTACTTATGATATAGCAGGGGTCTAGGCATATAGAATTTTTTTTTTAATTAACCTGTATGGTTAAGTTTTATTTAGGTTTTGGTTTTTTTTCAAGTTTCAGTGTCCACAAAAGTGGCATTTAAAAACAAAAGCTTCAATGAAATGCGGTTCAAATCACAGGATAAACTTAATGTTGGTGTATAACTTAGTCTATCCCGGAAATGAAATCCACCACTTCACACCAAAGCCCATTATGCCAATGCCAACCATTGACTAGTCCAACAACTGTTTGGGTCAGTCCCCAACAATGTCAAAAATACGACATAACTCATCCAGCAGTTTTAGGGATGTGTCAGATGATGCCAGTACCTCATAAAATAAACATTTTAAAAAATGTCATGAGGTATCTAACTTAAATCAAAAAAATAAACGTCCTCAATACAACTGAATTAAGACAGTTATATCTGAATTAATTACGGACTCTAATGAGCTCCTATTAAGCCCAAACCAAGTAAGTTACCTAACTCAAATCTAACACCAGTAAGTTAATAGTTATTTAAGTACCTAGGCCTATTGCATATTCTACCCAAACTACTTTCAACCCAGTTTACCCATACGTATGTGGCTATTAGTTTTGTTCAGTAGCCAATAATTAGGGTACAGTTCCACAGAGAATCTGCAATAAATAAGCTAGAAAAATAGGGGAAATCACTGCTCCCACCCAGACTGAATTGGGTTTTGTGATTAGGTTTAGGAAGAGGTTAGTTACCTTCAAATGCTCTTTATCTCAAAAAAGGGGAAAATATGCTTTCGGCCTGTCACCCAGGTTATCTATGGTTAAAATATATGAAATTATCTATGACTATCAATAGTAGAGGAGTTATCGATTGACAATAGTTTTAGTTTGATATTATGATGAAGTCAGATATCTACCAATGTTTTGTCGCAAAAAAAAAACACAACTTTGGTGGAGTGCAAGTAAGGTAGGTAATTTGAAATTTAGTCTTCATAACCTGTACAATAATAGCCTATCTTATCAATGGCCTATCTTATTTCGTTTGGAAAATATTAAATACATTAAAAACGTCAACTGAATTTGGGTCGAGCCTTACAAATGTTTTCTTGAAAGGAATAGCCTAGGCTATCATGGTTTAGAAAAATACTCACCAAGCAAATGTAGCCAACAAAGTAATTGAACTAAATCATGGCAAATTGTATCATACACACCATAATCGATTCTTAAACACTCAACAATAATGACTTTTCACTCATTCGTTATTCATAAGTTAATAATAATTTCCTACCTAATCCTCATCTTAGTGTTTGGTATCGATATCCGATATATCGGAAATATCGATATTTTGGTTCCGATATATCGATATTTTTATATCGATATTAGACTTCCGATATTATCGGGATATCGATATTTTACTTCGATATTATCGTTAGAATTAATTTTAGCAATTTTTCAAAGAATAATGCAAGAATAAAATACAGTTTAATCTTTTCTGAACTTGTTTAGCAGTTATTAAATATTATTAATAACAAATTTATTTGTAGGCCTACACACAAACTATTTCATGTACCTATCTAGTTAAAAATATATTTTTTAACTGGTTGCCTCTGCCTGCATTTGAATAGTGAGTTGGCACGGTTGGCAGAAGTGGAGTGCCAAAATGAGGTGACGGCAGTGAAAACCAAACAAAACCATTAAATTCTCATTTGTTGTATAAAGGTACTTTCCTGTTAAAGGGAACATTCATTATTATCGATGATTTATTTTCGATATATCGATATTTTTGTTTTACTTCACGATTGGTATTCCTTCTGTTTTAATATCTTCAAACGCATTTATTAAGAACTAACCTTGTCTAGGCAAAAATAATAGTATATATATTGGATTAGGACATGAAACTATTCTAAACTAACCTAACATAACTAACCAAACTTGCTGTATAGGCTAAGTTACCGTTTCAAAATTCCATTTGATAACAGAAAAGGCATATGGGGAATAGGCTATCAAACGGATTTTTGAAATGTTACAGCAAGTTTGGTTGGTTAGGTTAGTTTAGAATAGTTTCATTTCAATATACAATTTTTTTAATTGTTTGTTGATACTGAACAATATTTATTTACTGTATCCTATATCGTACTTGTCAGCTGATATGTTTCAATTTGTTACCATCAATATATCGGATGGAAAACAAAACTATCGATATATCGAAAATAAATCATCGATAATAATGAATGTTCCCTTTAACAGGAAAGTACCATTTTTTTGTACACAAGCCTAAAAAATTATAAATTGTAAACAATTTAACGTCATATGTGTGCAGCTAACTGCTGTTCATGGTGGTACTTTCCTGTTAAAGGGAACATTCATTATTATCGATTATTTCTTTTTGAATATCGATATTTTATTTTCCTATCCGATATATTGATTATAACAAATTAAAACATATCAGCTGACAACTTCGATAAGGATAGGCTAATATTGTTCAGTATTAACAAAGGTACTTTCCTTCTAAAGGGACATTTTTATATCAATGATTTCTTTTGATGACATATCGATATTTTTTTTACCAAACCGTCTGTATATATTCCTTTGTTTTAATATCTTCAAACGCATTTTTTTTAAATTGTTTGTTAAGGTAATTTCCTGTTAAAGGGAAGCATTGCGTTAGCATTCCAATTCCATTAATTTTTAACGATATTTTTCCGATATATCGATATTTTTGGTCCGATATTATCGGAATATCGATATTGAGGCTCCGATATTATCGTCGATATAAATATCGATATTTTCTTTCGATATCCCAACACTACCATCTCATTCCTCCCTCACCTTAAATTCTACTTGGCTTTTGGCTTGGACTTGGACTTGGACTTGACACTTGAGAGTTTTTTTGAGCCAGCTGACGAGTGATGTGCATTGATGAGAAGCAGTAGACGCAGTAAGTAGACAAAACTTAACCATAGACCACAGAGCATGACCAATTCAAGTAACTCTTTGCTCTCTAGTGATATATAGACATAGGCAACTAAGTTTGCGCTGTTATGATAGATTATTTAATCCACTCTCTTACCATAGATAAATAGAATAAATATTTGTCTATGCTCTTACCTATGGGATGTTCTATATTAATTTGTTTATTTTACACCGAAACAACATTTTACATAGTACATTTCTTTGTCTTATTTTCTATAGCCATACAACGTGATTACAAAGTGGAATGCAGAAATGCAAAACTTGTAGCTATGCCTAACGGTAAATAGAGATTTTATTTTTTTCATTGTCTATTGATATGGAATAGTAAGCAGTATTTTAAATCTATACTTTATTGAGCAAAGTTTATCAATCTGAGCCATTTGACAATACGTAATCAAATAAAAGGCAATTAGCTATTTCAACTTAGAATTAATATTTTCTGGCTGTATTACTTGGATACTTGAAGTCTTGTGTCGTTGACCGATGATATCGGTATGACTGCGTCATATTTACTTTAAGACAACAATTTACACACTACTATTTACACCTTGGCAATGGCTAAAAAGTGGCTCGTTGCGTTGCCTAGTTCTTCAGGGCTGTAAAAGAGGCCTATTAACCAGCCTGTCACGTAGGGCCGTCTTAAAATCATCTAGGTCCAGGTCGCGTACATGCACCGGCAAGGAATTAAAAAACCTTATCGCAGACCGAGGATAGCTCATCAGTGAGCGAGCTAGGAGGCATCTCGGCAAATCAATGTCACAAGCTTGGCGGGTATGGTGACTATGTATATTGTCTCTGACAACAAAATGGTGGATATTAACCTTCAGCAGGATTAAGATGTTGAGGAAATACTGGCTATAAACAGTCAACACACCCAGCTCCAGGAAGATGGGACGACAGTGTGCTTTGTAGCCAGAAGATGTTATCATAGATTAAACATACTCCTTGAGGAGTATGTTTAATCTATGATGTTATCCTCAGCGCCTTCTTCTGTAGTAGAAGTAATTCCTGTGTCAATGGAGAATGGCCCCACAGAACCAGGCCATACGTGAGGTGACCGTGAAACAGCGCGTGATACACCGCTAGCAAATACGGTCTGGTAATGGTGGTCCTAAGCTTCCTTAAAAGGTAGAGAACTTTATACATACCTTTTCTCAATATGGTGGTACCAACTTAGCTTTGAATCCATCCAGAACCCAAGCAGCTTCACGCTGTTTTCCTCAAGGCCGATCTTCAAGGAACATAAAAAGGTCTGAGTCTTCTCCTCGTTGATCTTAAGTTTGTTGGCTATAAACCAGTCCTTGGCCAGCATCAGGGTGTTGTTTGCCTCCTCCAGCAGCGGGTCGATGTTCTTCCCCTTTGTGACCAAGGTGGTGTCATCTGCAAAAAGGAGGGCATGGCTGGTTGTAGCAAGGTCATTGATCATTATTGTGAAAAGAAGAGGGCCCAGGACTGATCCCTGCGGAACTCCATGGGGAAGAGAGCCTATAGTAGAAGAAGCACCCAAAATTGTCACTATTTGTTTGCGGTTGCCAAGGTAGTCCGCAAGAGAGCTGAAAACTGCGCCACCGATACCATATTTTATCAGCTTGGCCAGAAGGATCAATTATCAATTATCAATTATCAATTATCAATTATTTAAGATGGGGACGCCACTATGTGCGTATTTTAACCCAAATATGAGTGAAGGATGAGTGTAGGATGAGTGGTCTTGTTAGTGACTAAGGCCGACATGTTCCTTAGACACAGCTGTTAATTAATAGCCCATACAGCTAATGGCAACTAAGGGACCTACAGTTTATTGTGGAATCCGAACCACATTTTTTCCTCGTAATTAACGAATTGGTCTAATTATTAGGATAGAACTGCGGATAGTCGTAGTACTCACTAGTGCGGACGTTAATCCACACCAGGGAGCATCGCATCCACAGTGCATCCCTATAATTATCCACAATTCGTGACCTCCTAGTAGCTGGATTACAGGACGACGCCACCCGTCCCAGTCATGTGACACAACATCGAAAGCCTTGCTGAGGTCACAAAGGCTGAGGTGAACCGATTCATTTTCCTCAAAGGCCTGGGATATGGTGTCGACCAGGCTCAGGAGTGTGGAGGTGGTAGATCGACCACTACGAAAGCCATGCTGTGAGTCCACCAGTAGGTCATTATTTTCAAAGTATGAGAGGAGTTGTCTCTCACAGTCTCCATCACCTTAAAAAAATAGGGAGGATAGAAATGGGGCGAAAATTATCCATCAGTGCACTCAGTGCAGGGTTCCCTTTCGGTCGGCGTTTCTTTAATTGTTATAACGGTTGCAAATAAGCATATGGTTAAACTAATTTGAATTCGTAATCGAAACTGATATAAAACTGCACCTAACTCTTCGGCTTCAACATTTTATATTTATTTATTTATTTCTACGTTAAATGCCGCATTAATCAATAACGCATCAAAGCGCGATGGTTTACACAAAAATAAATTCAAGAATTGCAAATACATAGATTAATACATACAAAAGACTAGAAAAAGATAGGTTCATAGGTTTCAAATTGCATTGAATGATCCGGTTACAAAATAATACATGCATGAACAAGCGGAATAATAGTTACAGACTAACATTACAAGATACACATCATATCACTAGTTATAACAACAGAATAAATACTCATTCATTACAAAATATATTACCATAGATAAAACATAATCCTCCTTGAGTAAACTGTCCTTGAGTAAACTTCACTAAAACTGCAAGTTTAGTGAAATCATACATTGCGCTAAACTTGGCGGTTGAATACTGCAGTATGAATGACCTAGTCTTCGATGAAGGAAAAACCAACCAGGTGAATTTTGGCAACAAGAAGAACGAGATCATGGGGTATCCAGGCATCCATATCAGTGAAATAACCAAACATCTTTGGCTTGATCTTGGACAGCTGGCTATCATGGACTGACCACGTGGACGAACTTCGCATGAGGCTGAGTACTGCAATCTTCGCTCTGCGGCGCATTAAGACTGTTTTGGCAGCTCTTAAAATCTCATACCACGCCCTCTTTGAGAGTCGTTGAAAATTTTAACCTTCCTGCTCATCACAGCAAACGGTACGAGATGAAGCCGTCATACAATGGGGCTAAGTACTTCAACCTGTTGCCAACTGAGGTCAAGAACACAAGTCCAAGGTTGCTCAAGTCGAGGCTGAACGAGTGGTTGCTGAATCACCCTTTCTACAGCATCAACGAGTTCATCGAGTGGAGGACCACAGCTGAAATTAGAAAATCTGAAATTTCCCAATTCCAAAGACTTTATTCCAGATCAATAAATGCCTTATTATGTCTTATTAGAGATCTATGGCCTAAGATGTCAACGTTACCTTACGTTACGTCATAGATACGGTAAAACATGTTTTATCTATGGTTATATATTATGCCATTATGATTTAGTCCATGGTTTCAGCACGTCAGAGATACAATATTATCATCCCCGACTGTTCATATTTTATATTTATATCCAAGGATTTAGATACATATTTAATTATATATTATTATCTTCTGTGCTGAATTATATCTCTGGAGGCCTGTTCTTGAATCAGCTGTCCCTAGTCGTGTTTGTGGTTCTTGTTGACATGTCAAAGTAAGAACAAGAAGTGGGGTGTTGTCGTTGTCGTCTGGTATGATTGGTATGATGTTATTCTGCTTATGTGGCAGTAGATAAATAAACTTTCAAATTTCCTCAGGCTAGGCTCTTTCTCCTGTAAACAACTGAACAGAATTATATTTCTGTACCTTAACAACGCTTTGCTAAGGTATGATTATCAATAGGATTAAAATGTATATTAATATTTCCAGAGACTTATACAGCATTTTATTGTTATGTACTAGTTACTACCTATTATTTATTGTCATTAATAACCCGTTTTAAACGAAATTATTAGTTGGCAACAACAGAGGATGGGAATTAGAAAGTATGAAACAATACACACTAACTTATTATGATAGGCTCTACTCTGTTTGGCATGTATCATTTTAGTTTCCTACCATCCTGATTAGTTAAGATAGGCCTGCACTCAAACATGTAATAGGTTTCTTGTAGGTAACTATTCCATATGGTTGTAGATTTCCACTAGAATCCATGTATAGTCTGTTATGGTGCCACGTCTAATTACATCGTAACTGAAATGCAGGAGGTCTAGTCTCCCACAATTCATGATTCTAGAAATCACCAGTTAGCCTAATTAAACTTAATATTTTTAACTGTAAAATTATTCTCTTGATACTTAATCTATTATGTTTTATGCAATGGAAGCAGACCCTTAGGCAAATCCTAGGCTAAAGCTGGGTTTTCCTAGGCGCAGAAGCGGAGAGCGGAGAGAGGAACGCGGAGAGCGGAATTGAAAATAACAATCATGGCATTCCGCTCCGCTTCTAGGAAAACAGTACAGTGTAACATTAAATTGCCTAAGACAAGTGGAGTCCGCTCTCCGCGTTCCTCTCTCCGTTCGCCGATTCCGCGTCTAGGAAAACCCGGCTTAATAGAGGATGCCAACCTCATAAAAAAATTATTTTGATGTCACTTAATCTTCTAATCTTATATTTACATCCATCTCAAAACAATTAGGCCTAGGCCTATTGAAAATTAGCCTAACTTACATACCTTATAAAACTTACCAATATGTCCTCAAAACAAAACAATAATTTAGGCCTACTCGCAATACTTTCAAAAACATATTCTTTACTTATATAACCTAGATAAATGATGTTTAGATAAAATTACAGTAGGCACAGAGATGTGAGGTACAGAGGAAACACTCAATGGTACACCTACATGGTGTCTAGCACTAGCCGCTGGTGTCTAGGGCAAGGTTTAATACCACCCCCACCCTCACGTACTACAACGATCACAGTGGCATGTGGGATCACAGTCCTGCGTCCTGTGAGATATGAATTTCCGCACAGTGCTTGCCGCTCGGGCTCTTAATTTCTCAACATAGGCATAACTTATTTCTGGCCCAATATACCAGAGTTGACAGTGCAAAACGGTCCAATAAGCTCTCTGTACCTTACTTCTCTGTGCAGTAGGCCTAGGTGTTTATTATCGAATTATGTCCACCATACGGATCGAATCTACATTTATTGTCCCGACTTGAAAATAGCTGGTCTTTGTTAACTAATAACAAAGCTACACCTGGAAACTCACCTTTTATAATCTAATTCTACCCTCATTTGCATTAAGGACTAAGTTATCCCCAGTTGCGTTCCCATCCTCGTTTTGGTGATGGTAATGTCAGCCGTGTTTAACTACAGTTTTTTTTTGTCCTAGGACGTTACGCACGAGCCCGGAATTGTTTTTCAGATTACTTCAGGCTAGACCTAGGGGTTACGGCATTATCACTTAGCCTAGATAAAATCCATTGGTGATTTGGTGGGATTTAAATCCGGGACCCCAGGAACCGGAGTCCCGCGCTCTAACCACTAGACCAGCTCACTCCCCAATTACAGTAGAACCTCTTTAATCCGAACTAATTGGGACAAGTGGTAGTTCGGACTATTGAATAGTTCAGATTACAAAACTTATTGTTAATTGTTTTAACATAACAATAAGCTAAAACGTGGCTAAAATGGATCTTAACTGTTTCGGGAAAAGTGAAATATAAAGTGAGTATAAAGTAAAATACAGTGTTTATTAATAGGCTACAGTAGTAAACATAGTGAATAAACAGTACTGTACATTACAATAGGAACAATTATGGTGCGTATATCAATTAATACAGTATACAATAAAGAACTACTGTAATGCGTATAGAGTACAGCAATGAGGCGTTCGGATTAGTGGGCGTTCGGATTACAGGGGTTAGGATTAAAGAGGTTCTACTATAATTACATTTTTTTAAGACCGCCTTCCCTTAAAAAGGTTTGAATTTACTTCATTAAAAATGCCACTGGCGTAGGTACAAGAAAAAAAATACCAGGGACGAACTATAGGTCTCGCCACCCTAAGTTGAGGCAGCCCAAACTGACCGGGAGGGTCATTACCGGCTGGTCCCGCACGACCCTTTATAATCCGATTAGCGACACTTCCGTGAACGCTCTAGTCCAATAATTATCATTAACAAATTTTAAATCCGATGTATAAATTTTGTCACTTACATTAATAACTTTGATTTAATACACATTTCCGTTTTCGTCCCATCAAAAACGGACAATGTTTACGGTTTGTGAGCCATAAACAAAAACACTACTTGGTTTTTTGTTTATAGCTCACAAACCGTAAACATTGTCCGTTTTTGTCCCATCAAAAACCCCAGTAGTGTTTTTGTTTATGGCTCACAAACCGTAAACATTGTCCGTTTTTGATGGGACGAAAACGGAAATGTGTATTAAATCAAAGTTATTAATGTAAGTGACAAAATTTATACATCGGATTTAAAATTTGTTAATGATAATTATTGGACTAGAGCGTTCACGGAAGTGTCGCTAATTGGATTATTAAGGGTCGTGCTCCCGGTCAGTTTCGGCTGCCTCAACTTAGGGTGGTGAGACCTATAACAAGAGTAGGTAGCCTACAAAGAGTACATTTACAAAGTTACAGCCAATCAACCATACTACGCCTTCAAACACAATGGTCCATAAACAAAAATTTAAAATAAGCCTATTTCGTTTTAATTTCCACCCAACTTTTCAGGTAAACAATGAGGCAGCTCAAAGGAAAGACAAAGGAGTCAGCAAAGGAGCGAAAGCAGAGGAAGAAAGAGTTTCTTGAGAACAAGAAGAATGTAACAACGGTAGTCTTGCCCGTCTTAGGTGTCATATTCTTCTTAATCGTAGTGTACGTTTACATGAAAACAAGGCCAAAGACCATTGAACAGTACTAAAACTAATATGTCCAGCCAAATCAAACTGCCGTTGGATCGTAAGATCCAAAACATTCCTAATGAAACTAATGAAAGTTGTAATAAGCGTGTAAATGCAAAAGATATTTTTCTATAATTTTTTACTCTCATATTTTGTACAGTTTATTTTCAATACATTTGATACTGTTGTGGATTCTATAGAATAGTTTAATGTTGTTGTCGCCCTTTTTGGGAAGGTATTGGAAGTGAATTTTAATAAAATATTTATATATGAAACTGTGTTAGTTTTGTTTTCCTTTTGAATATTTGGTGCTAGTTTGATCCTAGATGTCATTAATATGCTTAGGTACTTCATTAATCAATGTGGTGTGTAAGAGTGTGATTTTCATCAGCTAAATAGTTCTTTCTTCAAAGAAAACATTTGCTGACTCCGAGGTTTGCAAACTTTTATGATGCAGTTTTGCAGAAAATATGTATAAATTACAGGCTTCAATTTTCCAATTTTCCAATTTAAAGTGTGAGGTCATAACTCTGTAATATTACATCTTTTGTAAATAGTATTATGTATACAAAAGAACATAAAAACTTATTGCTGATTTGATTATCCAAGTAGAAACAGTTCCACTAACATTAGGATAAAATCTTTACCTTGAAAATGTTGTCTTTGGTCAAAAAAGAAACAGCTTAATTGTTAAGATGTATATTGAATTTCACGGCCACCATTAATTGTCGCCACTTTTTGATTGATTGTGTCTGTAAGATCCATCTGGGTTGGGGGTTTGTGAGTGTAGACGCAAATTTGAAATCACCAAACAGCAAAAATTCATTACGCTCAAATCTGGTGATGTTGGGGCCACAGAAAATCACACAAACTTGCAATAACCTTTCCTAGAAACAGTACACACCTTGATCATTAAGGTCTTAGCAGTGTGCGCGGTGGATCTTGTTGAAAATAAACATAGGTATTGTTTATCAAACGTCTCACCTGTGACCTCGATAAAAAACTGCTTGAGCATATCAACACAGACAAAATCAAAGCTTGCCAAAACCTATTCTACATCTACAGCGTCCTAACAGTTATTTTTCAATCAAGTGATTTTTTTTTATGCATTGTGTTTTCCAAAAATTGTCACACCATAGAATTGTATTTTGGCGGGAAACTATATCATGGGGTCTAAGATGAAATGGAACTAAAAAACATCACTGTGCTGCCGTGATAGGCATTCTGCACATACTCATTATAAGCAAACACACCGTTTTCTGTCTGTTGCTCCATAGTTAATAAAATGGCATAATATGACAATCAGTGACACCCCTCCCTACAATAACTGTAATGCATATACTATTGGTTTAAAAAACGTCCGGTTCCTGTTGGCCACCCTGTATAAACATTTAGTGCGCAAACCCTCAATGTCACTTTGGAATAATTGTTTAAACATCTCTTATTTTGAACAGTTTAATGTTTAAAGTAACTGCTTTGTAGATTATTATGCAAAGCCTGAGTTACTTTAGTTGCTGACTCATGATCGTGGACTAGTTGACTAATCAGCTGATTACGTGAATTGATGTTATCAGTGATTAGATCCTTATCAGCAGCAGAGCACCCACTACCCTGCATGACTAACTTTTGTAAGTATACATCTTTGATTCAATCATTGAAGTAGCTAAATAATTTCTGAACAAGAGAAAATGTAGCTTCAAATAAGCTAATTGTATCTAATGTTATTTCATAAGTTTCTTAAAACTACTTAATTTCTTAACTGCTCTTATGCGGAACCACAGTTTTACATGACACAATCTAAAAATAATTAAGAATGACACAACCTATTAACACTTAAAGTGCCGTTGACATGTTTGAACATGAAAATTGCATTTATTTCAATGTTAAGCAATGGCGGGAATTCCCGTCATCAGCACCCAACGTGTTAAAGTAACTTTAAAACAATACGAACACCATTAGAAATTGCTATGCTAGGTACTCTTTATACCACCAACAAAAACAGTCAAAATTAAATATCTATAAGGGTTAGATTTTTTTGCTACTTAAATATTCAATAATATATTTTTTTATCTGTTTTGACACATTTTCATTTCATTTAAGACTTTTACTCAGTAAAAGCATTGTGTTATGCAACAAACTTTTGAATATAATGTTTTTGTTCAATAAATAAATTGATTTATCGATAAACTTATATTAGGATGATTTGACTTCCTGTACCATACTATGCCTTGCAGAAACACTCTTTGTAAAAGACACAATTCTTAAATATTCAATTAAAATGTAAAGCAGTAATATACAAGCTGGCCATAAGTTTTCAATTGTTTGGACGAAATATTAGGCATTAGTAGCTGATGTATATAATAATTAAAATTAAAATTTTGTGTAACACTGTTTTTAATATACTAGTGGCTTGTATAGGGACATAAGTCCCTAAAAAGCTCAAATCTAAAACAACTTTTTGCAATACCGGTGTTTAAACAAACTCAGAATAACATTATCTATGTGTCAGAATAGGCATCCCTACACCATATCTTTTGTCTAAAAACCAGTTTGTTGTTCTTCTTTGTTTGCTTTTGTTGATGTCATTTTCAATAAATAATTTGAATCACTCCAGTGGTTTAACATGAAAAGGCAGCAAACATATCATTGTTTGTGAATAAATACTGGTTTACTAAGGTAGCTTTGGTCTTGTGGTTAATGAGGATAAATAAAGGCTTCCCTGTTTGGAATTTTAAAAATTCATTGGAGGTTCGCCTTCAGATGAATTGAAGACGCCTGCAATTTCATCTGCAGTAGGCTTATTATACCTACGACGATCCATATTTATCCTGTCTACAAACCTAAGTTCTAATTCACTGTCACCTTGTACAACCATTTCTTCCGAAGCTCTTTTGTAAATTTGTGCAAATGGATTTTCTAATAGAATTTCAGCTAGTTTTGACAATATTTCAGGTTTTAAGTCACTATTTTATCGACGCCTTTGACCAATTTCTGTTGCTGTTGATGTGTCAATAATGTACAATTGGCCATACAAGGGGTCTTCATCATGTTGAGTCAGCAAATCTGAGATTGAACGATAAATCTGTCCATGAATTTTGAAACAGTATGGTCCTTTTCCTGGAATATCTTTCTTACTGGCTGAAAAATAAGCAAAAGCCATCGCACTGTTGCATTGTCGAATGAATTTATACAGTTGTGGGCTCTCTTCAAACAAACTTTTAAGTTCTACATTAGTTTTTGACTGAGGAAGGTTAATAAGTCCGTTATGGCAACATGTCATAAAATGATTATTCGTTAGTTCTTCTCTAAAATGAAGAGCACAACATTGAATGCACTCTTGGTCCAGTAATCCTGCATCATGGATATTTACATTTCTCTCGTCTACCATGGGTCTCCTAAAAAGGGGTTGTAACAATAAGTTCGTCATTATCTACTCTTGCTCTCCTACGCGCACTGTCATTCCTATGAACAGTTCCCTGCCTTTGTGGTATTCCCCTGGCGTTCATATTAATTACAGTACTTATAATGAAAAGAATATATATCCAGCACTGCAGCCTACATACCAAAACATCTTGAATCCCTGGTGATTTTATAAAAGTATGATCGAATATGATTACTCTACGTTGTATATTCACTGCACTAAAAAAATTTACTTACGAAGGAATGCAAATACACCATTTTAGAACCAATAACATGTATAGGTTATTTTAGTTGTATATATTCCCCAACAGCACAATGGGCTTGCTGGGAACTTGTTCCAAGTCCATTGGCCCAAGTCCCCAAGCCTGGTTTAGACTCAGGCACCAAAGTCTGTAGGCTTGGTTTTGACTTGTTTTAGAGACCGAAGTTGGCAGTTGTTCAACTTGTTATGGGTTTGGCTCCCCAAGTCCAACCCAAGTCCCAACCCCAAACCTACAGTGAACTCATGGTCACAAACCTACTCTAAGCTTGGAATGATGGATACAAAACAGGTCTGGTAGATTAAGCAGGCTCATTATGGACTTGTTCGGGACTTGGGGACCCAAGCCCAATTTTAGTAGGCTCATATTGGACTTGGCCTAGACTCATATTGGAATTGGTTTTAGCACATTTTAGACTTGGGCAAACAAGCTCACACATGCATACTCACTCAGACTTGGTACGAAGTTTTATGACTTACTGTCATGATCAGAGATAATAATAATAATTTTATAATAGGTTATAGTAATAGTAAAATAATTTATACCTATTTAACATATAAGCTGTTTCACACCATTCATTTGCTAGCCCACCTTTTTTCTTAAACACAAAAATAATTAATTTTTTACCAAGAAACATTTATGATCAATAAATGAAGCCTATTTTATTAGTCTTAAGTGATCTTGGAAAAAATATTGGTTATATATGATCTGTTAGGGTTTAGAAAACAAGACGACATTCACATTTCAAGACAATTTATTAATATAATAAATACAATGCCCACTATCTTCCACTTCACCTTCAACTTCTTTTCTGAATCCATCAACTCCACCGCCTGCTTCATAAGATCTATAAAAAAATACAATTGCATTAGACGAATTATTTGGTTTATTAAAATTTATTATTTAAATATTTTTTCATAATTTTTATTTGTTATTAGAATTATTTGATTATTTGGCATTTTTGTTGGTGTTGCAAACACAGGGTGTTAACTTACTCTTGTTTTTAAAATTGTAATCAAACTTTTATTTCTTACTGTTTTACTTTTATAATGATTACAGCATGTGATAAAGGAACTTACACTTATCAACAAGGCTACTGAATACAAACAACGTTAACTAATGGTTTGGCCTGTTTTTATCTGTAGACTAGGTTAAGGCATTGACTATAATGGTTAAGGTTAAACACAAATTTTGGCACTGTTCTGTAGAGTTCAGCAGTAGACGTTGTCGATTCAGTGAAGCGCTGAGTATGACAAAGGTTAAAGTGCAAAAGGTTTAGGCTATAAACAAAATTCTGGGGTTCTTGATGCAATGAAATTAATTGTTTGCTTAACTTAGCTTACTTATTTCATCATAGACTAACCAACACAAGTATATTTTTTATCAATGGAGTGTAAATCTTACCTTTACAGCTAGTAATCCCTTAATTCTTCTTTGCTTCGTCTTGGTATCAAAACCACAAACAAAACTCACAACTAGTAACGAAACGAGTAACTCACAACACCAAAACAAGATAAATGAGAACTGACAACTGAGAGTGAGGAAGTCTAAATCCAACAAAAATGGTGGTTCAGCACAAAGAAACAGGTTTTAGAAGCGTGTGGTGGGTAGGGGTGGAGGGAAAATTCTTTTGTCATATGGCACTGCTCACTTTGGACTCACATGAACAAGCTTGTCGTGGGTCTGGTTAGGTGTTTAAATTGTAGACTTGGCCAACCAGGTTATATATGTAAATAAAACAAGTTTAGTTTTGGCTCATTCACACAAGTTCACTTAACCAAAGCTGTTTTAAATTTGTAGTGGGTTCCAAACTCCAAGTTTGTCATACCAATTCAGAAATATGTAAAAACCAAGCTTAGTCCAAGCTCACGTGCTGTCTGGGTTTACACAACCTTAACCTTAAAATGTGTAAAAATATAAAGAAAACAACATCATTTAAAATAAACTTGAACATATGATTTAAAAATAAAAACAAAACAGAAGTTAGATTTAATTTCGACTCTTTGATTATTTATACAGAATATTTATTCTATGTCGTTTATTCCTTTAACACGACAATAACGTAAAAGCATGAAAAAATGAAACTTGAGTATATGATTTAAATATAAACAAAGAATGCAGACGTTTTTCCGACTAATCTTCAATATTTCAGTTTTATTATAGTATACATTTCAAAAAGTAAACCAACTGCGTGTATTGATCACTGTTTTCAAATCTGTGGCACAGCTGTTTTAATTTCAAAAGATGTAAACAAATTAAACCCCATGTTGTATTAATGGGAAAAGTTTTATTCTGTTGCGAACTTATAGTAAAAAAATAAAAAAAATGAATAGTTTTCCCTCAAAATTCACGTCAAGACCTTTAAAATAAGACCCCTCCCATCCTTCTACGGCCATCCAGTCACTCACAATTTCTTTACAAAAATTTGACTTACGGAATTATATATATAGATTAAAACTTATTACTTTACAAATTAAATTATTTTCAGACTCATTATCAAGTTTGAAATCAAACAATAAGTGTTGAGATCAAGCTGATGCATTAATATTTTTATCAGCGACTAATATATTTAAGTTTGCATATACTGGTAACCTAAAGTTAAATTATTTGTGCCAATTTGATATGAAAGTGTCCCTAAATGGGATTTAATTGTCAATTGCTGTAGAGAGACGTATTAAAACACAGAATTTGGAGCTTATTTCTATATCAGAGCACATTTAAGTATGAAATCAAGACTAAGGAAATTTACCAGCTAAATAAAAATATCTCGTAACCCAAAGGACCACAGAAAGGGTAACAAATACATGAAAACTTTCTGTTTTACTACTATGTTATTGTAAACATCTCAATCTATTCTACACTCATAAACAGCTGAAAACATATTCACATGTGTTAAATTGCTGTTATCAAGTAAGGGAGTGATCAAGTAGCCTGTAAATATCTATAACTTGCTGAAATATTATTTGATAACAATTTACAAAGTAATTTTTTTATCATCTTATTCAGTAAATTATTCACAGATTCAGTTTCCTCAAGCGCACTATTTGCCGATGGGGACTCTCGGCTTATTGCTAACTTCACTTGCCGTTGCGGCAAGTCGACGCATCCGAGACGAGTACCACTGTTACGCGGAAGACGAGCACCAATACCTGTTCTTCGGCACCAAAACGTCTTACGCTGTTAAATTCAAAGAGTCAGCCCCCCCTTTCCAGAGCCAAGGTAAGCTTTTGGTAAAGACTTGTATACAAATAAAATATTTGTCGAGTCATGGTTTTTAGCAGAGCCAGCCTTAGGCGAGAAGGTCGTACAGGGCCATGCACCTCTGGGGGCTCTCGGTGAAAAATACATTAAAATTCTAAAACGTTGTAAATTTAAATTATGTCAATTATGAAAAAAGAAAAAGGGATGAGTATAAATACTAATATTATGCATTATAGTTTTGTTAGTTTAGTAGGTATTGTTGCGGTCCTACTTTTAGCGAATTTCCCATATAGGGAATAAGCTATTACCGTAGTACTCATATGGTAAGACCTGGACCCGGGACCGATTTTTTTTTTCGTTTTGAGGTCCCTAGAGGCCAAAAACACCATCCGTTCAAATTCATATATATATATATATTTATATATATATATATATATATATATATATATATATACTAGCTGACCCGGCGAACTTCGTATCGCCTAAGTTATAGGTTTCCCCTAAGACAGACCGATGGAAAACCCGGCAGACGTTGTCTGTTGTCTTGCCTTTGACTATTTTTAATTTAAGTACCGTTACGTTTAATTTTCAAGATGATCTCGTTCGCATCGCTCAACCACGTCCTGGTTGAAGTTCGTTCGCTACGCTCACTCACCTTTAGGTTGGAGCTCGTTCGCTGCGCTCACTTGCCTTCAGGTTAGATGTTCGCATCGCTCAATCACGTCCTGGTTGAAGTTCGTTCGCTACGCTCACTCACCTTTGGGTTGGAGCTCGTTCGCTACGCTCACTCACCTTTAGGTTGGAGCTCGTTCGCTGCGCTCACTTGCCTTCAGGTTAGCTCGTTCGCTACGCTAACTCGCTTCCAGGTTGAAGTTCGTTCGCTACGCTCACTCACCTTTTGGTTGCAAATTAGCTGTTGTCATAAATGTAAAAGAAATAATAGTGCTGCACCCTGTTGGTAATCCTTGTAACTTTAATGCTATTGAACATCATAGAACAGAACCAACTTGTTTAATTGAAACAGCTGTTAAGATTCATTAATTCCATTTCTCATAAGGTTAACATGGGAAACTCCAGAGCCACTGGGGCGGAGCCCTTTTAAGAATTTCGAAACGGGAAATAGTTTACTTCCTATTCGCATACCTACAGAATTTACACACCAAATTTCATAACGATCGGTGAAGTCGTTCCGGAGGAGTTTGCAGACAAACACTGTGACACGAGAATTTTATATATTAGATTTATATATGTGTCCGTTAGCGCGATAACTCAAGCAAAAACGATCCGATTTTGATGAAATTCGGTACAAACGTGTAAACCTACAATTATTCGAACGAGTCCGCGAACCAGCATGATCGGACCGTGGGATCGGGGGTTTATGGGGGGTTTTATGGGGTAAAAATGGGTTTTTCCCATTTTTGACTCAAAATACATAACATTTTGCAATTTCTTTCTAAACTATTTTGTAGAGCTTAAAAAAACAAATAATTTAGTATATTGAAGCGTTATAATGCACCTAATCGTTACGGAGAAAATTCCAAAAAATTGTAAATTTAAAATTCCCATGTTATTCTTATGGAGAATAAGTAAACTGTTGTAGTTTGCTTGTTTATTAACATATTTTGCCCAAATTTGGAAAATGTTTTTATTTCTTACTAACTATTAACATTTTACATACAAAAACACTTTTACCCTCCCTGTTGCAGCAAACCTAAGTATGTGTTAAACTGATTCTATTTAAATAAGGAATGTGATATTTTTAAGGAGACGTTTTAGTGTAAATCCAATCAGGCAAATGGAAATTCGCTTAGTCTGCAGGTTTGCTGCGGCGGGGGTATTTTGTAGTAAGGGAGTCCCGCTATGAGTGTTTGCTCTGACCCCCCCACCAGCCAAGGCACACTTCCAACTAATACCTCTAATTGAAAAGAACATTCTCTCCTTATAGTGTACAGTAATGCGCAGTATAAGTGTTTTTGTATATGGTTTTGTATAAATTTTTAATGTTTTTAAGTAGTTATTTCTCGCAATTCCAGAATGTTCACCTCCACTGATGTTATGGGAGTTGGTTCGTCACGGGACTCGCTATCCGATGTTTGAGGAGCATCGCCCCCTCAAACAGCTCAAAAGTGTCAAAAACAGAATTTTACGGAACCAGAAAATTTTTAACAGTAAGTTATTTTACATCACTCATTCATCAACTCTCATTAAAGAGCCTTGAATTATTTATGGTTTAGTTAAATTTGGCGAGCATTGTGCAAGTAAACATCTTAGTAGACCCAACCATTTTAATGTGTTGTATTTTTCGGTTTTACCATCAACTATTGGATACTGAAGCTTTTGCACAACTAAATAGATATTTACTTAGACAATTTAAGAATTTTATGAAAATGTGTTTATTTTCAAATAGTAAAGTTTGCAACGTTTCTGTACAAGGTATAAGAGTAAAATTCTTTGGTAGAGTGTTAACGGATTTGTTGTTATCTTGTCCATTTTTTTTACAAAAATCCTTTTTCTGGCTTAGCTTCAAACACAAAACAAAATTGATCAAAATCAACTTTTTGCCTCTTTGAGTTCAAACTTTTTCTTAGGGCCATAGGAAACAAAATAGTCTGATCTTTATTCTTCTGCTCTGATGTTGTTGAGAGCCAAGTACAATAGTCTGGGTTCAATGGTTCAATCATGTCTTCTTGTCTTCGTTTTTTGACTTTCTAAAAATCAAACTCTTCCTGGTTACTGATTCCAACCCTTACATAATTACATACATAATTGTTTTTTCACTTCACACAAGCCAACCAACCTAAACAATTACTTTGATGACCTCTACAATGTCTTCAAAATAAATGCCGTAGCTCATCTTACGGAGAAATAATTGACAATTTAGCAACCAAGTCAACCTTGTACACAGATGTGGAGCTGTGTGAGGCAGATTTGACGAACCTTGCCAACTGGACGATCAACATTCCAATCTCAGAGAGCAATCGTCTGACTCAACAAGGCAAGTTGGACATGGAGTCCCTGGCCAAGAGACATCTTCAGAGGTGGCCAAGTCTGTTCAAGCAGTACGACCCGGACAACTTTCTGGTAACTGATTTAACTTACAATACAATATAAACTTTAAACACAAGTAACCCTTTGAGCTCCAGGAGCTGAATGATATGATCCTATGCTAGGTTAGGTTAAGTTTGATTAGGTAAAGTTAGGTTAGGTTGAGGTTAGGAAAAGTTAGATTAGGTTAAGTTATGTTTGCATCACCTACATAGAGCAGATTTGATTTGACCACCTTCATAGGCGGCCCTTATCTTGAAACAGCACTATAACCTAACTTCCACTAATTAATATCAATCTATGCAATCATAAACAAACCAATACGACTAAAGGCTATCTGCAACCTGGAAGTCAAGTTTAGAACCAATATGCTTGCTCTTTTGGTTGGTCAGTGTCGTTAATGCAGATGACAGGTATAATGAGGAAGTGTTTCCCCGGTCAGAAGACAGAATCATACATCGAGGGTTTGAATCGCTACATTGAGGAGTTCACCTGGTGGTAAAGCTTGTTGGGGTAGGCTCAGTAAAAATGCAGGTGGAAGGTTGACTTAAGACCAAATATATAGGTCTTTGGATCAGAGTTCAAAGATAATACCTGAAATATGCTGACCTTTCAGGATGGAAGTTTCTCTTAAAACAGGTGGACGGCTCAGGTAGAAGTTTATGGGGTGGGTGGATTCATTGTTAGTTAAACTTCAAATCGGGCTCAGGTCAAGTTTCAGACCAACAAATCAATCTTGATAAGAAATTATATCTATCTGGGTTTTAGTTGTAAAAGTTTATTTGTGGCATGAAACAAACAATCCGTTAGACTGGCAATGACTATATTTCTCTAGCAACATTTATATACTATTCACATTTAATAAATTGTAGAACACGTAGGCTCAAATTGAAAAAAAGAAAATAGTTGATACATTACACTGATTTTGGTTTATTGCTTTACAGTTTCTCATAACGGAGTCTGACAGAACCAACCAAAGTGCCAAACATTTCTTGAGAGCTTTGTTTCCTGATGCAGATATTCCGCAGCCTGAGCCCAACAATGCTCTTCTACGGGTGAGAACTTAAAATAGAACATTTTTTTTAAAGAAGTTGGCAGCCTTGTCTTTTCCTGTAACCTGTCCACATGGGCCTCCGCCTAGTTATTAATTCTGGAGTGGTGGGCCCATCTAATAAAATTAACGGTGTCCGGCTTGGCTTGAAGTTGACAGCATCGGTGAGTTTAATAAGGGTCGCACACTGTATTTTTCTCAGTATTTGTTTAAGGGTTGCATCTGTTTGTTTCTTTTTTTCATTGGTATATATGTAAAAAGAACAAGATTTTTTCTTTTTTCACTTTTATTTTTTTTATGGACATATTTGCTCAACTTTAAAAACAGTGAACATACACTGATGGTAGGACTAAACGTTAACTTACTTTAACTATTATCCTACAGAAATTCCCAAAAAACCTTACAATTATTTCATTATGTCAGAGCTATATGAACTGCAGTACCTGGATGCTGGATTACGCAGGCAGTCGTCCAATCAGACAACAGCGAGACAGGTTCCACAACTCTCTACTCGTGAGTGAACTGGTCGACCGAGTCAGTCGACGACTCGGCTTTTTCTTTGACATCCGCCCCAGTAGGTAGAAATAATTTTTTTACTTCTTTGATGAAACAACAATGTGTACTGTAGCAAGGTCTTTTGACACCCAGATTTTTTTGATGGGGACCAGAGTGGTTGGGGGGGGGGGTTATGAAACTAACCCCTATAGCAGACGGAAGCCGAAGGTACTATTTGGAAAATATCTGTTGTTTTAAATCATCATTTTAATGCTAGCTTTAACTGCTCCTACCCATTATTTATTGCACACCAATCTCAATAAATTCAAACTTTTTAATTTACTATCCCCCTCCCCCCTGGTGGTCCGTTCTCCGCCCACCCCTCTTGCTATGCCACTTTAAGACAGCATATAACAGGTTTCCTAAAATGTTTGCTGTTTTCTTAGGTTAGCTCAGGATGATTTTGAAAAAAGTGCAAAGTGGTTTGCTAATTTATTATTCAATAAGTAATTGAAAAGTTGATCAATCCTTTTGCAGTTTTAGATAAAAACTGACAAAAATAATTAAATTTAGTGTTTGTATGTAGGGATTCCCTGATGGGTTTTGAAACATATCAAAACGAGATTTGATGCTTATTGCTGTTGTGAAATGTCTCATAACTTCTAGTTAGTTAGGTCAGAGTTGAGTAGTAAAGTATAGCTATTATAGAGTAAAGTAGTAGAGTTGCTATAGTTTTATTGTTTTTGAAATAAAAGTTTGTCCGTTTAGCCCAGGTGGATGCCATGTATAAAATGTGCGCTTATGACAAAGCATACAAGCCACATGAAATATCCGCGTGGTGTGCAGCATTTACTGAACAGGAGCTCAAGGTACTGTTGTAATGTTGCTTTATTCTCTACCATTTAACAAAACAATATCAACAAACATCGCCAATATTGGCTTATGTCCTTGGCTCTTTGAAATGTCAATAATATGTAAACAAAACCCTACAATTGTTGTGTCACAACAAGGCTATCTATTTCAAGATGATTTTTGGTGTTGGAAAGTTTATATTTGAGGGGTCTTTGCAGACATTTTCCATCACGATTAGCAAAAAAAATTCACAGAATTTCAGGATCTGGAATCTGATCAGGCAGATCTCTAAGATGAGAAAATACTTAATACATAACACGATTGTAAACAAACGTGTTATGCTTAATTTTCTTTGTTTCCAAAGCTGTGATAACACAAAAAAGACCACACAGAACTGTACAGTATTCGAAATAAGAAACAAAAATCTTGAAAGAAAACAAGTGGTACACAGAGTTATTCGGATACAATGGACACTACGTCTCAAAATGTGGCAGGAGTAAAATTAGAAAACAGATTCCAGAACCGAAAAATTTTTAAAACTTGTTTGAAAAAATCTCTTAAATAACATTTATTTACTAGGTTTTTGGGGGTCACTCATATCTTCAAATTGGGTTGGGCCTGAGGCTGGATAGAATTTTCGGGTGGAGCCAAATTATGCTAGGGAAAAGATTTATTAAATGAGCCAAGCTTTTATTTTCACGATCACAAAAAGTGTCTGTCAGCAATAGATGAAAATGTCTCCACGACCTTGGAAAATTTTTATGATTTTGCCGTGAAAAATTTTCATTATTTTTGACAAGACTCAATTCTTTTTATTGAGGACCATAGACGATCGGTCCGTAATATTTTAATGATTTAAGCACTATTAGTTTGATTCAACGAAGTTTTAAGTAATCAATTTTACACAGAGTATATATTCTCTTTCATAATTAAGTTTTACGCTAAAAAAAAAAAACTCTCTTGAACGGAAGTATTCATAATATAATGTCATATGTTATTCTATAGATCCTGGAGTATAGAGAGGACTTGCTTTATTATTACAAACATGGCCCTGGTATGGACATCAACATCAAAGTAGCCTGTCCTCTGCTGCGAGATATGATCCTCAGACTCAAGTAAGAAATCGTAACATTTGTTTTTGTTATTCCTAGCTTTTTTCAATTTTTTTATTTGTTGGCTTTTGGTTTGGGTGATTGTATCTAAACACATTTAAAAAATTATCCTTCCGTGAATCGGAAGCTCTTAATTTGTTCTTTGAATATAAAAAAATATTTAATATTATGATAAACCTGTTGAAAATGAAGAGTTGCGGTTAGTTTTATGAATTCATACAATGTTTTGGGTAAAATTGAATATTTAATACATTCCTTGAGCCAGGTGTGATATTTGGTGAAAAATTAACATGAAACATGTTTGGTTTGCGTCACAGCTGAGGGTTTCAGTTTCTAAGTTTGTTGCAATGTTTTTAGGTAACCTTCTTCATTTTTATGCAAACATTTTGTTTTGTAGATTTAGTAATGTTGCTTCTGCACTTTTTCCCCAGCATCATTCTGATATTGTTAGCATTAGCGATTCAATGTTGAACTTTACAGTGCCACAGTTAATCAGCAGAACGGGACGACCCCAGTCGTCATCTACTTCACTCACAACGGCATGTTTGAGAGGTTCCTGTCTCGGCTGGGTCTACTGAACAACTCGGTTCCACTGACAGCGCAGTTTGACTACAACAATACGAGAGGCTGGCGGCTCGCCAAGTACATCCCCTTCGCTGCTAACCTGGCCGTCACACTTCACAAGTAACGCACACTAGTCGTAAACCTTAAGTATAAACATAAATGATCGTGAACTTTGACTTTTGGATACCACTGAAATAGACATACCTATATATGGATCAGGTGTAGGAAGTTGATATTTTTATCATAAAGAACATGTTTGAATGAGCCACTCCAATAGTGTACTACTGTAAAAAATTATGCCTTCTTTAGTTTCTGCTGTGCTAGTTAGTGTAACATAAAATATCATATTATTTACAAATTCTTTTCAATTTAACTTTGTTAAGTTGGCGTATTCAACAAATTCTTTAATTTATCATTACCGCCACTTTCGAGACAGCAACGACTAGGTGTATTTATATTATTAGCTAGACATGATTGATTGTAGAATAATAGAGATATCATCTGTGTAGCTTTTTTACAGACTATTTCCAGCTGTTTCTTTATTTAGGGACATTTACAAAAAGCTACAATTACGAGCTGAGCACTGTGTTTTTTTTTTAGGTGATCAAGAACTTTTACACTGGGTTTAGTATGTATCCCAATTGAAAATTTAAGCATTAAACTTTAAATTTTAAGGCATCCTAATGTGTCAACGTTGTATAAATCTAATACAATCATGTTTTTAGGATTTTAAGTGAAGACAGCAGGCTAACGTGAATGGGAAAGAGTTCAAACTGGCACAGGAAACACGAAACTTTACACTATATAAATAAAACGTCAGAGTATTTCACTGTCACTGACGCAATTTTCAACTAAGGAAGAGAGTTTTTCAGGCCTAAGGGGCCAGGGCATTATTGCAACAGTGTTAACAAAAAAGGAACTCTGTTGTACTTCCTTGCCACCAATAGGCCTGACAAACTCGCTTTCTTAGTTGAAATAGTGTAAGTGACAGTGAAACATTCTAATATTTTATAATGTAAAGTTTTTTTTATCATACCAGTTTGGACGATTTCCCATTCAGGCAAGCCTGGTATCCTCACTATAACCCCAAAAACCTAGTCCTTTGTGATATATGTTACATCCTTAATCATGTGTTTCAGTTGCACAGATGGATTCAAAGTGGCGATATACTTGAACGAGAAGCCATTAGAGTTAGAGAACTGCACCAACGGCTTGTGTGACTGGCGCACCCTGTACGACAAGTACCACGATATCATCAACTCCTCCACGTGCAACCTTAACGATTGTTTTGTCAGCGCAGCTTCCCCACAACACACAAACACATTCATCATCTTAGCTTTGCTGTTTCTTGCTCTGTGTCCATGGAGAATACAATTGTAATTTTTGTACATAAATGTAATTTATTTTATAAACTTGTGTCCTGTTTGTTTGGCCTGGTTTGATAAATTTTAATTTCAGCTATTCACTGATGATTCAGGGGTTTTGTTATAGTGCGGGACTTGTGTGTTGGAGGCTGTGTTTACATCCTCTGGTTGAAAATGTTGCCTGTGCCTTGTGATAGTGAAAAATTATAATTTTTGTAGTGTAAAGGTTTGGCATTTCTTGTGCCAAAGTGGAGACTTTCCTATTCAAGCAAACCAATAACCATCATAAGGTAGGTTCTAATTTTGGTCCTTATTCCAATTTAGAATAGTTTGGTTAAAAAGTTTCTAGTAGAATGTAATTGATTTTTTGAAGTTGTATTTTAATGAAAGTACCTATAGCCTATATCACTGAATAGGAATCAAGGAGAGCAAAAAGTTTGCATGCACCGTAACGCTAATTCACTAATGTATAGTTTTTTGTTTGTAAATGTATATAATGTCAAAATTTGTTTTGTGGTCAGTATACAATTTTATTCACAAAGAATCTTAGACCTGAATATTTGGCAATTGCAATCAAACATAACCCGACTCAAAATGATATTGCAAGGTAATTGAATACTTTACACTCATATAAATCAGTTCAGCAGTAGAATAGTGAATTCTGGTTAGAAAAGTCAATACTCAATACATTAATTGGATACAGTGCCAGATTTAGGGTGCTTGCGCCCGTCGTTCATACTGAGCTATTTTACAATCTGCGAGTAAAAAGAAAACGTGTAGCTTGTAAACTGGCTCCGTGTGAACGGGGCTAAAGCTGCGGCCTAATGATATATCCGACACTGATTGGACATAGGTTTTTTTTTTCAAATAAAAGAAACATATGAGATATATATCTATACTTTACTATATCACCCACCAGACTGTGAAGATGTCTTTTCAGTATTGCTTTGCTGATGAGAGTTTAACGTAGCTTGAATTCTATTCAGTGACGTCTCTCTGCCTAACATTTCCAACATCTCTCCCACCGCAGGACCTTCCTGTGGAAACAAAAGATCGATATTGGTAAAACAGTGTGCAAAATATACTACTATTAATTATTGATTCAAGGTAAAGCCAAGTGGATAATCAAGGGGTATTTTTTGAAAGGGATAGGAAGTTTATATATCTTTCAAGAGAAAATGACAATTAAAGGAGATTGCCGATACACAACATGGTTAGTTTCTTGAAGGAAAGAGTACTTGGCTTAGGAACATATTGAAGAAGAATGAATTAATACACAACACACTACTACAGGAGAATCAAATTCATGTATTGCCGATCAATACATGCCTTATGTCTTATGCCAACTGAGTTATCCAAGGAAAGTGTTTCATGTAGTAATTGACCTTGTCAAATGTGGCATAACAAAAGTTCACAGCACAGTTTGATTTAAAATTTTGCGCCTACAAGAAGGCTTTTTCAGCGATAAGTAGGATGAATAACTACTTTTTTATAAAAAAAAGTTGGCAGGTTCTTTTATCTTGGCATCTGCCCATACCCATGCTACCTCTGCATGGAAAGTATCAAGCAAAGCAAGACAGTGGCCGAAACAGCACAAGAATAAACTATATTGATAAATATTAGTGGTGACAACAGAAACCTCGCAGCAACAGAAAGATCGCTGACTTTGATTTGTAATCCGTTATGTTTTATCCACTGACTTACTGGCTTAAGGCTCAATCAACAAGGGGGACAAATTAACCTTCAGAAAAGTTATCTAATTCTTCAACTTCAACCTAGAAAAATCCTAGCCTCAACTTTGAGTTAAGAACAGGGTATTTCAGGATGTGTAGTGACTGAACCTCAAACCTCACCTTTCTACCACACAGTATCATCCTCATGAGATGCATGACCTCCATGACCTTGACCTTTGACTGTTTGGCCACAACTCGTAGACTGTCCGACAGCGGTTTCTGAGTGAAGTCATCAGTGGCTTGGAGATGTTCATACACTGCAGACACCCACTCTGAAAACAAACACTTATCAGTGTACTTATCACCTATATTAGTGATGGGTCGATTCCAGCTTTTTAATTCTCGATTCCAATTCCATTACATAAAAAACATTTCCTGCGGTTGTGCAGGCATCGTCATTACCTCCCGCAGTGATGGCAAAACCCTAAAACCCTGTCACCACAAAACTCTCAACTACAAATTTTGTTAATTTCCCGCGGTTGTGTAGACATCGTCATTGTCTCCCGCGGTCATGGAAAAACCCTAAATAACCCTGGCGTTAACAAAAACATCATTATCTTCCACAATCGGGGAATTAACTTGGCGGTAATTTTCCAAACTTCGCAGACGAGTCAGGTATCGGTAACGGAATCAACTTTGGACGGTCAATTCTCAATTCCAAATCCAAAGCCGAGAATCGGTGGAATCGAGAATCAAGTTTTGGAATCTACCCATCGCTAGAACATATGTTTGACCATGACTTTTAGACTGTCAGACTGTGGTTTCTATGTAACGTCATCACTGGCCTCTCAACACTCATCAAGCAAACTCATAAACAGACTACACAACAAAACTACTCAGCTATGCAGTTAGTTTAAAGCCCAATGACAAAATGGCATTTAGGGCCAGAATTGGTCGTGTTAACCAAGATTTAAAAAGAAACAGTGTAAAGAATGAGTCGATTCTCGATACCAATAATGCTGTTAAAAATGCTGGTTTACTTTTGAGAATTCTTATTTTTGGTGGGGTTTAGTTGTAGACACTTTTTGTTTACCTCTTTTAAAACAATGCAACACATCATTTAATGTACAAAAAAGTTGAAAATTTCTCAGAATTGAAAGGGTTGTGCTCGACCCACCTGCTTGCTGCTCACTGATGTTGGTCACTGGTGGCCTGACCCACAGATAGGAGAAGTTAGGTCCGGCCAGCTGACTCAGCCGAGTGATTCTCTGCAGACTCCACTGCATCACTGACCTGACGTAATCCTCGTTGAGGTCCAGCTCCAACCTGGAGTTAAAGTTCAACATAATAAGTACTCTGTTACACACTTGAGTAACGGTAAAGGATTGTTATGTACAAGGGTAGGGATCAGCTAGCTTACCTGGTAGACAGAGTCCAGATTAGCCTTGGTACACACATAAAACACATAACACATTTGTTGGAAAAAGTTTTTCTGTGTTGTGTTGTTTTATGACTAATCTGGACTCTGTCTACCAAGTAAGCTAGCTGATCCCTATCCTTGTACATAACAGTCCTATTCAGCCAATTGGCCTTTCCTTAATTTCTAACCAAATCAAATCAAATCAAATTATCTTTATTCACTTTATACATTTTATATACATGAATAGTGTCAAAGCATACAACATTAGTTATAAAACTTAATCTAAATGGCTTAACCATAAATTTGACAATTATTTTAGAATGGACAGCTAATTCATTTTTGATTTATAAACTCATCTATACTATAGGGAGCCAGATTAATTAAGAATGATTTTAGCTTTTTCAAAAAATTGGGTTTGTTTTGATCTTTTTTTAGTAAGGCAGGCAAACTTCTTATGAATAAATTGCCAATATACGAAGGCTTCATTTTTTAAAGTTTCAGACGATGATGACTTTTTACAGTAAGATTTTTCCACCTTGTATTGTATTTATGGGATACTTCAGTGTTTTTATCTTTATAAACATGCCGAATAGTTTTAAAAATATACAAACCGTACACTGTAAAAATTTTCATTTCTTTAAAGTACTTTTTCACCGACTTCTTATTCTTAAATTTTTCAATAACTCTAATGGCCTGTTTTTGCAGTTTTAAAACCTTTTCCAAATTTGTTGGTTACCTCTCTGAGTATAACAGAGAGGTAGGAGGTAGGAGGCTCTGAGTATAACAGTAAAGTCATTCTTACGTTACTATCACTAGGCAGGGGAGCACTTAATCAGTTAAGCGCCACTCATCCTACACTAATCCCAATTCATACTTGGCTTAAAATACCTACTTTGTATGGTCGCCATTTAATAAGAAAGTATTAAAGTTTAAAGTAGGCCTACCATGAATTGTACAGAGAGTGAGATGGCCTAGTGTTATAGATCATTGCTTTTGACCCCAAGGTCCCTGGTTCAAATCCCGCTAGTCACTAATGGCTTTCCACTGCCCTGACCCTCCAGGTTCGAATGGCAAAAAACATGTTTAGGTATTTGTTGTTTAGGTAAATATGTTGTAGGCCTATAATTTATTAGTAGGTTTTTTAAATTCTTAATTGTCACACGACCAGAACCAAATATGCTCATGAATTTAATACTATTGTGAAATTTTCAAAAACACTATTCACACTCACATTCACTATGCAAAACTAACTCCACAATCTTTGCCAATCAACAAAAAAAATACAGCTTACAAACAGGACTCGGAATGATACTCACTGGTCTTTATACGTTTCAGCCACTTTGGATCGGAACTGTTTGACCAAGGCAGCCATTTCAGTTTCATTGGCCATTTGTCTGGCAAGTTCAGCCTTGTTGAAGTCGTCCAAGCGCTCCAGAGATACTCGGCACGAAGCTACTCCAACCAGACCCAGATCAAACTGTTACGAAGATATACATCCTGATAAGTAAGGATTTTTAGGATAGCGGGGTTTAGGCTTACCTGCATGGGCTAGGGTCTACTCTGGCAAAAGAACCACAAAAACTGTACGTTAAACACAAATTAGAATATTTTTCACTTACATAATTTGTAACCAAAAAAATTACTTTTAAAAAGTTTGGAAATGCTGTCAGTAACAATGAAATAGGAAGACTATCACAAGCGAATACCAAAATGAATAGCCTACCGTATATACATTTGTAATTCACATATTATACAAATGTGCCAGATTATGCAAGCACATTATTTTTTTTAATACTAAAAAATAATGAAACACCACAATAACATTTGTACAGGAATTGAAAAACAGGTTGTGACTTGATTTTTATTTATTGTAAAATGTTTGTGGTGTTCAGATAAGTGAAAGTTGATGAAATTAGTGAGTTTAATAACGATTAACCACTAAACCTGTTTTGCTTCTGTTTACATTAGTATAGAGGACACAGATTTTTCTTATATTTATGCTTAAAAATTGACATGTATTGTGTTGAAATAAATACATGGTAGAAGGCATAAAAGTTCATAACCTAAAAACTAATTAACTGACAAATAAAAATAGGCTTGGGGTGTTAAGTGTTAGAACTAATTATTTGAATCTTCTGTCAAGGGAAAACCTAATAGACCTATCAAAGGGAATTAACAAAACTTCCGACTGACCTCAGCAGCGAGCTGATCCGTGCTGAGACTCCTCACTTGATCACTGTTGTCTCGATGAAAGCCTCCCCCGGAGAAGGTGACAAAGTTGACGAGAGCCTGCGGCAGAACGTCATCACTGCGGTAATGCTTCACTGTGATGTCTCCTTGCCTCTTGGAGAGCTTGGTACCGTCTGCGTTCATCAGTAGGGGGAGATGTGCAAACTCAGGAGGCTCCCAACCTAGTCCTCTGCGACCCGGAGGGGATAAATCACACAACTAGTAAAATTGGGGCAACAAGTGAGTGTATTTTACCTGAATATGTATGAAAGATGAGTGTAACATTAAATGAGAAGCCTTGCGTTGCTTTGGTATTGACTTAGACCAACAGTTTCTTCAGGAAAAGACTATCCCCATCTTCTTGCCGGTCGACTCACTTCATTTGAAATCTGAAATTGTTTATGGAGGAAATATGCAAAAACCTTATCTAAATTTTACATTATTGTGTAACCATTTTTTATTTGTAATATTGAATGTCATTGGTATTTTTATTATGGTTTTTTTTTTATTAATGGCCCGATTTCTAGTCTTGTGCCTATGTACATATTTTAAGCTTAATATGAATGCAAAATAAGGGTAACATAGACTGAGATCATCTGTGTGTCTTTGTTAATAAGATCATTTGTGTTTTTAGACAGGATTATTACGACTTTAATGATCAAGTGCATTTATTGCTGCGTCCAAGATCAATCCCACACAAGATAGAACCAGCATGTTCAGATTCAAAGGCAAGCATAACTACTATTCCACCCAATTTAGCACAGTTGTATTACCATACAGTAAAATTTCAAGATTGGTTCAGCTGACAGAATAGCCGCTGTGTCCTACTTTCAAATTTAAAAATATCTCCAAAACCATTAGAGTAAAAAAGATCCACTCACTTGTACAGCATGAGATGTTTTGGAGTTGACGACTGCCACTCTACTCCTCGCAGAACATGCGTTATCCGCATGTGGTGGTCGTCTACCACGTTGGCCAGGTGATACGTTGGGAAACCATCAGACTTGAATATGACAGGGTCGCCTTCACAAGCAACAACGTCGTGAGTGATGTTGCCATACACCAGGTCATGGTATGTCTCACATCCCGGGACCAGCTGATAGATACAATCTATTACGTTTCTATACTACCTTTATATTTATATATATTAGAAACCAAGTCAGTATAATAAGAGTGTATTAATGTAGTGTACAATTTCTATTTACAAAATACATCGGGTGTGACAGACACGATTGCCTCCGCAATAATTGCCTAATCACTTCCGGTATTTTTTCTAATTTCAAAGGACGAGAAAATTACATCAAGTGTGTTCGACTACTTTATTTCTTTGGCCCAATATAACTTGAGACAATTAAGAGTCCAGGACTTATTGATACACTACAAACAAAGGTTTCATTGCCAATATTTTGTCCTGGTGTGAGACTATTTCAGTGAGTAAATACACGTTATGAACCCAGAACTAGAACAAAGATTGGGAAACTTGAAAAACTCAAAATCAAACTGGCTAAAGAGATTAATCATGTTACGTATGCTACTTAATTAATGTGTGGGGAAAAAGAGGTATGTTAGGTTAGACAGGGTGGTTATGTAAATGTACAATAATATTTAAGTGACTTGAAAATGGAAGGAGGTCCATTACCTCCCGAAACTCAGTTTAGACAAAACACTAAGCGTAGGAAACGTCCAATAAATTAAAATTAAAATCTTTGAAGAAGTCGCACGAGGAATCCTAAACATCTTGGCATTATTATGGTGTTGTGTTGTGTGACTTTATAAGCGAGGACGTAAGCCCCTGGCTTCTAATTATCACAGCTGTGCTAGCTAAACTAAAAGTGTATTCATTATGTGTGGTTTTGTAAACTATGTGAAATTGTACATTTGTTATGAGCTCATATGATAATGTGTTTTACCTTTAATCTAACACATTGTTGTCCACCTGATTTCAACTTGTCCTCCACTTCCTCCTTACTGAGATGTCGACATCTGTTGTCGTATCGTGGAGTCTGTCGTCTGCGTAGAGCGTCTTTCCTCAGCAGTTCCAATCTGTGTTCCGTGCAGAAGCAGTGGTAGGCAGCGCCATTTTGTATTAGCTGTTCTACTGCAGTCCTGAAACAAATCTCCTAAAAGTGAGCTTTGATTAGGCCCTAAACTAAATTTTTGTACCACTTTGGTGTTTTTTGTAAATTTTTTGGTGCAGTGGTTATTTTAGTCAAAATGCCTATTCCACACTTGTAGACAGAGCCGACCGACAGTCTGTCAACACAATTTCGTATACAAGTTTCCGATGTGTTTTGCGGTCACACTAGCCCACCATTGTTTAGTATGGAGACTGAAGAGGACGTAATGTTATCATGTTTGTGTTTCATACTTCTTTACCATGTGGCTGATGTACCAAGAAAGAGACAATGATGGACCCGAAAATTTGTTGAGAGAGATTCGTACTATGGTCAAAAACTACGATCAGACCTTCGATTAGAAGATGGCGCAGGATTTAAAAACTGTACAAGAATCACTCCTACAGAAATCAAGGTTCTGATGGCCTTCGTTAAGCCAAAGATAACAACCCCACACTAAACACCAGTGGGTTTGGGTTGTATCTGATTTCCTGTCACCAAACACCTCAACATATGCGGACTTGAGACAAAAAACTTGTATCTTGTCTCTGCGTTTCCAATTCGTTTGGGAAACAGAAAGCACCGTATCTTGTCTCCAGAAACACGGAGACTTGTCTACGGACATTCGATGGATTATCTGGAGATATTGCTAATGGAGACAGTGGCCGACGATGTTTCTGGAGACAAATTGCCAAGTGTGGACGAGGCTTCAATTCCTTTCTATGCTACTCCCAATACGCTGCTATTTTAAAAAGAATTTCATGACGTACTTTGAGTATAAAACCGTATTGAAGATTATTCTACAAGATTCAGAAATTTGGTGAAATGATTTATGAAATATATAAAATTATTGATATTAAAAGCAAACAAAATGTTTACGGTTCTTTAAAGATTGAATGTTCAGTATTTAAGCTATCATTTTATTGGTCTACTGTGTATTTCAATATTCTACCAAATAAAATCTATAAGTAGGGCCTAAAAAAATTATAATGTTATTAGATTTATTTTGAAAATGTATTTTATAGAAAAAAATAAAACAACAATATAGAATGTTCACTTAATTTCAAACATCACACAGCCTTGTTATCAACATTATATTATCTCATACTAATTTTATTGTATTGTTCTGATAAGCATTTGCACTATACACAACTGATTCATTTGGTTGTCTAATTAATCATACTTACTCATAAATCTGTCAACATTCATTACATTACTTACTTACTTACTCCCTCGACGTCGTTGACCAGCTCTTGCTGGATAGACTGAGTCAAAAATAAAAATAATAATAATACAGTTAACATGTAAAAGACTAAGACGCTCAAAACTGCTTGAATAGAACCATCTACCAACATCAATAGTCTACAATATAATAGAGTAAAATTCAACAATTTAAACCGTAATGTAATTAGCTCACTCACACACATGTACAGATGTAAAATAAACTACAACTTACTTGTAAAGATCCAGTCGCTTGGACTGCTGGTAAGGTCCGAACTTTCCCCCTTTTAAAGGACTTTCATCTGGTATAATCCCAGCCCATTCCAAGTCCTCCTGTAACAAATATCAAATTAGATCAGTAGAGTAAAAGAGTCGTTTTTATTTTTTTCTTATTCCTCTATGTTCTGGCACGGAATTGTTTTTCACATTACTTCAGGCTAGTTCTAGAGGGGGTCGCAGGGCCCATTAGTAATTGAGTTGTCAGGAGTGTTGAGTTCTACCACTTAAAAGAGTGATTAGAGCAATTGGCAAAGTTCAAATCAGTTGACTAGGTTAGAGGGAATTAGTTTAGTTTTTATCAAGACCTTAAAACGTACCATACATTCTTTTTACAACATCTACATTATTTTTTAACAATGTGCTAGATTCAAAAGTCCTAGAACCCCTAGGAGATTTTAAAAGTAGGCTATTACCAATATTAACATAGAATTTTACTGATATAAAATATTGTAAAGGGGTAGTTTTGTAGGCGTAAATGTGATACGAAGCATATTGGGTATACAGTTGAAGTTTACAGTTCATATAAGTTAAAGAAAACAGTGTAGGCCTACTCAGGCAGTACATTCAGACACAAAAATCTGTCTTAACTTTATTTATTTATTTATTCATTCATACCAACGGTCAAACCAAATATGACAAGAACTTTATAAGACTTAAGTTAAAAATAGACAATTTTTGAAGTTAATTTAAGCCAACTTGAAGTAATATTCGATAAATAAATTACAATATGACAACAAAAAGATATAGGCTAGACATAACAAGATGATATTTCTTTAGCAAGACCAAACAATCTACAACATACATGGGGGAGAGTAAGCAGATTAAAGTTAACATATGTTTACAATGATTTTTTACCAAGCTAGATGAGTTAAAAGTGCCCGTCTAGTAATGACAAGATTGCTGGTCTGATCCTGAGAAACGTCAGTAAACATTTAGATGGTTCTAAACTGGTCCCAGCTATTCTTGATCAGTGAATGGTCCAGGTTAAAGAAGCTGATCTTAGTCAGTAACAAAGCTTTTATCTCATACATTCAACACTTATTTATCACTCAATCTCCGCTTTAACATGCACTCTGGTATGTCGGCATCCGAAGACTATAGTATAATGTAATCTATACTTAAAACTGGACAACAAACACTTATAGGCCTACCTTTTATTCTGGTCAAACTTTATGTTTCAAAAATTTCTTGTAGAAAAAAATATTTTGCTTTAAAACTAATTCTATGGCATCATACTAACTTGCAATTGTTCCATTGCTCCCTCCACAAGCCGGGTCTGATCTGTGTCCTCTATCCTCAAGATAAATGTTCCCCCTTTTGACTTGGCGAACAAAAAGTTGTAAAGTGCCGTCCTGAGGCCCCCGAGATGCAAAAAACCTGAGTAGGAACCAAAGCTTTCAAATATATCCATCCATAGGCCTAATTAATAAGGAAATTGAAGCTGTAAAGACATGTTTCCTAGGTTGGTAACCAGTTTTAACATTTCATCTACCCATCTTCATGAGCCTTTAGCAAGTGGAACGTATCAGGCAAAGCAAGGGGTGAGTCAAGAGTCAAGAGATTTATTGGTCTAAGAACACAAATATTACAGTGCATACGACCTTGTCAAGTACAATGATTACCAATATTAAGTAAGTCAGTACTTACAGAACGAGAATGAATTGTACAGCAAACTTTTAGTGATGACCTATGACTATGAGCCTTTGACTCATAACTTATAGTCTATTGTACTACCATCTGCGCCTTAACCTTAATTACCGGTATTCAATCAAATCGCTCATAATAACTACTTAAACAAATTTTAAAAAAACATTTTTTTCCATGCTATTGCTGTGATCAAAGAGGTTCATTTGATTTGATTTGACCTTTACAACAACCGCTGTTCACCATTACAGTACTTGACACAGATAGACCTGTTGGAAGTTGTAACTTAGGGATACTTATAAATTTTTAAGGAAAATAACTTAGTTAGGCCTACTGGTAAGTTAGCCTACATAATATCATTCACTAAGTAGCTCTAAAAGAATCCAACAAACTACTAACGTTAAATACTTAGGCTAACTAATAACTTAAGAAAACTATTTACCTGTAGGGCTTGGAGCAAAACGGACGCGAACTTCATTTTCAGTATGAGCCAGCCGAACACATGTAGGTAAACCCATGAATGTGAAAATCAAACTTCTTTTGAATAATGTTTGATATATTTGTTGACTTCCAAGCATATTATTTTACTGGACCAAATCACAAGCTAATTCAAATTGTCATGATGCAATATTCTATTAGGCTAGGTTAACTTGACTAATGTTTTAGAGAAGTTCCGCTTTAAATAAATTAACCAGATTATGTTAGCGTAATAAATATAGAAAATAAAAATAAAACAAGGTCTTTAATTATATTTAGGCTAACTTATACAATTCTTTAAACTTTCACACAATAAACTTAGCCTAGTTTGAAAATAGAAAACCACAACCTAACAGTAACACTCTAGAATCACAAAAAAACAATTTAAAATTAAATCCACTGATGAGACAGGCCTAGTAAAATTCAAAAACTTTAGTAAGTTATGGAATTAGTGTTAACAACAAAAATGCAATAAGAATGAATAACCTGAACTTCTATGTTCAATAATTTTCTCAAAAGTCAAAACAAAACATATCAGCAGCAGAAGAATGTTTCTGTCTTCTAATTCAGGTTCAGCTGATTTTTTGGTGGCAGTTTAGCAGGTTGTCACGTCCAGCTGATTCCTCAGTCAGATTCAGATTTCACTTTGCTATTTTGCTGGCGAGTGGTGGCCATGCGCGCTGCGTCCACAACACTTCTGTAATAGGCAAATTTATGTTGAATTTGTTGTGAGCATTTTGGTCTTTTGACCTTAAAAGCCTGGAAATGGTTTGTATTATATTCTTTTAAACTCCGATGTTACATTTTCTTTGTTGTTCCTATCGTTAGAAACAATTTTGCTTTCCATACCTTTGTGTTATGTTCTAGTATTACATTTCTAGCCTCACTTTCTACTTGGCTTCAAATTTATTTACCTTGTTTCAGCATAAATTGAAACTATCACAGCGAGATAAAGTTAAAAAATTCATAGCGTTTACTCAAACTGGAGAACAAACTGCAATATATTGCCTTTCTCAAAATGAATGGAAACTGGAGCTGGCTTCAGACAACTATTTTCAAAATCCAGATGTGTACTACAAAGAGCCAAAGGTTACAGTTGACAGGAAAAAACTGGAACTCTTGTTTTCTAAATATAAAGGTCAGTAATAAGCCATGGACAGTAGAATTAGTTTGTTCTTTATACACATAAGCTTAACCTAACCTAGCCTAGCCTATAATTCGCTCAAGTCAATGCTCTACATTCGACCACTAGGTTATGAGCAATCTGTTTTATTTGATTTAGTCTGTTAGGCTGCACTTTACTTTACGTCCTACATTCATTCAAATGAAAAAAACCGAATGTAAATATAAATTTATCGATTGTTTCATTCGATATAGGCTATCGTTTGGTTAGTTAGGTGAGGTTAACCTTACCTGACTAACGAAATGATATATCGAATAATTGATACTTCTAGGCTATTTTAAATAATCGATATATCGATCGATATTTTCAGTCTAATTAGTGTAGGACGTAAAGTTATATGCAGCCGTCTGTTATGGATGATCAATGGCTTAAGAATCCTAAACTCATAAAATTTTTTCTTTAGTCCTTAACATGCCTAATAGGCCTAAGTTAAGTGAAACAATTCACTGAATAAACTTACGTAGGCCATGGCGATGTTGCTTTGCAACCTAGCCTAATCTTGTACTCCCCTAATCGAACTTCCGAGATGCTGATAGGTACTTTAAGAGTGATTTGTGACTTAAGTTAGTTATAGCGTCCAAAAAAGTTAAAATCATCTTTGTCAATGCAGTAACTTAGACTTGTCTTAAAAGTCACGTAATAAGAATTCAATTGAGTTTTATAGGTTAGGTTTAGCCCTAAGCTGGTTGCTTCATAGGCATAATTACCATCCTCTTGACCGTTGACCATTTCTGGATAGGTCGCGTTAGGCATAGGCCTAAACCTCGGTATGTCATCATAACTTAGCTTCTACACAAAGATTTCAGCGTTTATATTATGCTTACAAACAGTCTTTAGTTACCAAACTATTATAATTATCTTTAGTTATTAGTGTTTTATGGTAAGCCTAACTTAGTTGTGGACCCCTTACAAAAACTCTTTAAGTTAGGCCTACCACAACTTTTGTAACTTAGTACCTACCCTAATAAATTTAGTACAGTAGAGTCCCGCAAACTCGGCACTCGATAACCCGGCAGTCTGGATAACTCGGCCATCATCTGGCTCAGAAAATTAGTGATTTTTTGAGTCCGAGTTAAACATGGACTCAAGCCAGCTCAAGTCAAATCATTCTCAGCTCGTACAAATGATTTGTTTTACTATATCTGATGACTTAATACTGACTTGTAATATATAAATAAATAAAAGAGGTAGTTAATTAGCTTACCAATTGTATTGTTCTTATTTTTAACCCTAGTTCCCGATAACCCGGCATTTCACAAACTCGGCACCCTTCCAGTCCACATTACGCCGAGTTTGCGGGACTCTACTGTAGTAGGAAATTATAGGCCGACAAACTCTTGAAATTCACCCTTAAGTCAACTAGGTTTAAGTTAACTTAATAAACATGTTTAAAAACAAACAAAACACTTTGAGTATAATGTGTTTTTATTTTGTTATATAATAAAGGCCTGATGGTGGCATTTTTACTTGAGGAATCAAAAGAGGAAGTAATCAAACACTTTCAGGGAAAGCCGTCCAAATTCATGTGTTGTGGATGTGCAGGGAATCGAACCCATCCCTCCCCTCCCCTACCGAAGTCTGAAACGTTAACCTTTAAGCTAGCAATTTAAATTGCATTACAATAAGCTTGATCTCTTTTAGATCGGAAAATACAGTTTTCGGTCGCCTTAAGTTACTTGGTCTGTTATCAGCTGTAACTTACTTCTTTTGCTTGGCAGCTTGGATAAATGTTTAATCTCCGTACTGGCGCACATACATTCTTATGATTCCACAAGATGGACCAGAACCACTGGCAAAAATATATGTGTTTTTTCACACAAAATGTTTGTTGTTGTCTGCTTAACGATTATATCATGTATTAAACCTAAAATAGCCTAGTTCCGAGCTTGTGGGGAAAGCCCCTATGCAAGCGCAGAGACAAATGACTTTTAAATGGTTTCGCACAGTTAACATCGAAAATGCAGCCAGTACGACTTGCCAAACTAGGGCAAAGGTTTAGGCTATCAAAATATCTGTAATGGGCTGCCGTTTAATCAGTTATGGTGTATAGATTCATACTTTAACCCTCGGGCGTTCGCACCTGATCAAATTGATATAGCGGTTTCCTTTATTGCCACCATTTTGTAGTTAGCGGCCCAACCCTTACCCTCTCCATAACTGTAGTCTCTACCCCTACCTACTAACTTATTGATCAGTGATGTACGGTACCGGTTAACTGGTTTTGTCGGGTAAACACTTGCCTCTCCCAAGGTCATTGTATCACTTTGATACTGTGCGACCCTGCCAGTTTTACAAGCTTTTTAAAAATAGGAATTTCAATATTTTTAAGATTGAAATTAAACTATTTAGTATTTTTAAGGCTATTTTCATACATGTAGGCTACTGCTGTTTAATTACAATGAATTGTTCAAATGTAGGCTATCAATGGTTTTTTTAAATTATTTTACAAACTTTGTATTATTTTGATACGTTGCGACCTTTCCCGTTATCGGTAAAACACATGATGCAAGGTTTTCTATATACATTTTTTTTAAAAAAGGTTCATTATTGATTAGGAAGCTATTAAATGGTATCCATATACACTCAAAAGTATTCGGTTCTCAGGTACTGTTGCTTACTAGCCTTTTATTTAATTTAACACAAAAAAAAATCAATCTGATACAGTGCGACTAGTACCGATAACGTAAATTTTTAGGTGCGACCACCGGAGGGTTAAGTACTAATGGAAATATTCCTTCAATTTTGTAGACACAAAATATATGTTGTATGGAAATATAATGTTCCATACAATAATTGAGAAAAAATTTGAATAAAATAATGGAGCCATTCTGACTGTTATTGTTCACTCACTGTGTTATTCACTCTTGTTAATTTATTAGTCTTAGTATCTTGACGTCAACTGTACAAGTGTGCAATCTTGTTTCTTGTTGAAATAAATCTTTGAATTGTTTTTGAATAATCTGCAGTAGGCTACCTACCTATTAAAAATAGTTAGTTTTTAATAACTTTCCATTTTGTTGATAAACAAACAGTTATTTAAGTAATAAAACAATTTTAACCCCTTTAGATCCGGCAGAGCCAGACAAGATGACTGCGGAAGGTATTATGAAGTTTCTTGATGATTTAAATCTCAGTCCGGAATCCAAATTAGTGCTAATAATAGCATGGAAGTTTCGAGCTGCTGCTCAATGTGAGTTTTCACGAGAAGAGTTCATGACAGGAATGACAGAGCTATGGTAAGTTACCTTTATGATTTTAAAAATCAAAATGCTACAACGGTTTATGTGTGTTATAGGTTAGGCCTATACTGGTAAGAAGAAAAGCTAATATTTTCAGTGTCCTGATGGCGCCCCTCAGTGAAATTGAATTTGTCTCTTTCACACTGAATACGAATGGGCTAACTTAACCACTAAAGTCGGGACCACGAAGGTTTGCAGTGGAGGGAGGAGCCTATTTACCACGTGACTTCGAAGGAGCCAATGAGGACAGTGGGGTGTTGCCACATCTAATAATACTAGCTGATTTGAAAATATTGTTTAGTATTTTAATTAGTGTCGTCAACGGGCGATATGGCAACGTCGCACTAGCCTTCTCTTGTGATTGGCTGCCGCCAACTACAAACTTTTGTGGTCCCGACTGTAAGTTAGGCTAGCAACACACCCAACTACTCCAATTGTTTTTTCTGTAGGGCTAATGTTTTTTTTTCTAAATTTAAAATGGCGTTACTGTAGTTTTTGTATTTCCCCCCAGCTGTAAATTAGCGAGGCCTAATTGCTTCTCTAACCCTTTTTTTTTTGCTCCTTTGACTATCCGTCCTTTACTGTGTTAAGACTCACTTGATGCACATGAGGAAGAATACATTTTTCATGGATTCAGATGCATTCCCAGACTGTATAAGTTCTTACATTAAATCTGTAAATAATGGTCTGTAAGTTTCAATTCCACATTACACAGCTCACTGCTTTATTTTTTACAGTTTTTAGCAGAAGTTAAATAATTCACTATTTAGAGTGTTTTTTCATTGTTCTATAGCTCATGTTCTAAAAATTACCTCTGTTCTACAGTTGTGACAGTGTAGAGAAGCTGAAGTGTCGATTGCCCTCCCTGGAAAACGAGCTCAAAGACCAGAACAAGTTTAAGGACTTTTACCACTTTACGTTTAACTACGCCAAGAACCCAAATC